ACCAAATAAAGAAATAGTGCAGATTTAGGCCTTCATTATGCATGCAATTTTTCCTCTCCTCTTCTTTCTGTATTTTTTTTAATTTTTCAAAAGTTTTTGAGTTATAGATGGACACAATACCTTTATTTTTATTTTTTTTATTTTTATGTGGTGCCAGGGATTGAACCCAGTGCCTCATGCGTGCTAGACAAGCACTCTACCACTGAGCCACAACCTCCCCCCCCCCCACCGCTTTTTGTTTTGTATTGGGGATTGAGCCCAGGGGTGCTTTGCCGTGGTGTATGCCACCGTGTCTAGCTTCCTGTGTTTTTTTTTTTTTTTTTTGCATGCAACTTTATTACTGCCACCACAAATGATTTATTAGGATTTCAGAATACATACACACAATATACAGTGTGAAGTATATTTTTTCTTTTTTCAGTAGTGGGAATTAAACTCAGGGCTGGGGATGTAGCAAAGTGGTAAGGTGCCTGCTTAGCATGCACAAGGCTCTGCGTTCAATCCCTGGTGCTGCCCACCCCCCCAAAGAGTAATCCAACACTCAGGCTGGCCTTGAATTTGTTATGCTCCCGCCTCAGCCTCCTGAGTACCTGGGTTTATAGGCCTGGGTCACAGCACCCATATCTAAGGACTGTTTTATTCCACCCAGAAATACCAATGCTAATGGATAAAGATACATGTTAAAGGATATTCACAGCAGCTATTTATAACAGCTAAACCAAGCACTAAGCATGGGGTATAAACTTCCATCCACAACCCAATCATCAGTCCCCCTTACAATGGAGGGTTAAAAAGAAGGAAGTAGGCCCACATGTACTAACATTTCTTAAACATACAAAGGATAATAAATGAAAAATACAGTAACTAATCCAACAAGCATTTGCTGAGCACCTACAGGCACAGCTCTGATTTTAAGAATGGGGCAGTAAAAAAATGAACAAAAATCCCTGTGTGGCTAAGCCTGAACCCCAGGGACAGGCAGGTAACGAAGGAGCAGGGAAGAGGCATGGCACATAAGTCAGTGACTAGTGCTGCAGAGAAATAAAGCAGTGAAGGGGCCTAGGACACTGCCACTCAACTAGGGCAGTCCCAGGAAGCTTCACTGAGACGTGTCTCTGGGCGGAGACTGAGAGCAGCATGGGACTCAGGTAGCACCAGAAAGTATCGCCCTGAAGTGGAACCTGGCCTGCAGGTTAGGGACTGCAACAGGCCAGTAGGGCCATGCTTTGGCTTAGGAATCACTGAAGAGCTCCTCATATAACTTACTTACTTATTTTATAAAGCATGATTATGCCAAAAAGGGAAAAAGAAAGGCTTACATGTGAGGGATGTGTATATAAAGATCATTAAGGGTGTGCGGGAAAGTCTACAAAGACACAGCAAGTGCGAACGGTGGTGAGGCTGAAGAGCGCAGCTGAGGGCCTGCGTGTGTGTGTTTTTCTTTTCTTTTTCTCTCTGGTGCTGGGGATGGAACCCAGGGCCCTGCACATGCCAGGCAAGTGTTCTACCACTGAGCTGCACCCTTGGTCCTTTTTTTTCCTTATTTTGAGATAGGGTCTCACTAAGTTGCCCAGGCTGGCCTTGAATTTGTGAGGCTGAGGCTCCTGCCTCAGCCTCCTGAGTACCTGGGTAATGGGCATGGGTCACAACACACAGATGGAAGAACTGTTAAGAATCCCCAGCAATCAAATATTTGATTACACTAATATTCTCAGGAAACAAACTGGCATACATGTCACCCAACAGCAGTCACTGAAAAAGGTATGTTCCATGTTTATATACCTGCCAGAGAACAGACACTTAATAGAGATTTGTACTTAAGAGTCTGTAACATCTGTAGAAAAGATCATTTGAAGACATACTGTGGTCAGGAGTCTAACTCAAGTATGACTAAGTATTGGTATTAAAATAATCTTCAAAGTGCTATAGATTACCACACATAGGTGCATAAAGGTAGGTAGAAAAAATGAAAAGGACCCATAAATTTGCATTATCCAAGTTCAAACAAAATGGAAATCTGTTGCCCAGCAATTAATTAAAAGGTGGAATGCTGAAGCCTGACCACAGAGCCTCATGCTGTTGGTCTCCTGTAAGGAAAGGAATAATCAGTTGTTAATGGGTGATTATACAGGGACCTTCACATCCTGCAAAATATGCCTTGGATAATCATATCCTCCAACTTAATCCTTCCCCAGGAATGTGAATAGTGGGTGGGGAGAGATAAATATATATCATGCTCTTGTTCCCCTCCCAACCCTTAAGTCACATTAATGCCTCATCTTCCATTTCAGTCTATTGGGTGGTGGCACCAACATCTACCAATGTAATCTCTCCCACAGCGTGCTACCTGAGTCACAACCCCACGTCCCCTTTTTAAAATTTTTTGAGATGGAGTCTTGACAAATTGCCCAGGCTGGCCTCAAACATACAAAATTTTCTCGCCTCACCCTCCCAAATAGCGGAGATTACAGGCTGAACCATTGCACCTGCAGCAAGACACTCCCTAGCTACTGTCTCATGTACAGTAGCTCTCAAAATCTACACTTACTAGTTATAAAATTATTAAATATTTTGTATTTTTATACTATTTTTAACGGGTGCTGAGGGTTGAACCCAGGGCCTTCACAAGCTAAGCATATGCTCTACCACCGAGCTACATATTCCAGCACCTCCTTTTCCTTTTGTAAGTGAGTTGTGATCATAAGATGATCTCATAATCATTTAATGGATCACAACTCATTTGAAAAATACTAGTAAAGAGCTACGGACAAGAATTTTTTCTTTTTGCAATGCTGGGCGTCAATCACAGGCCTATGCAGGTCAGACAAGCCCTCTACCACCAGCCCAAATTCATACTTTTTTCCCTTTGAGGCAGGATATCAGTATATTGCCCTGGCTAGCCATGAACCCTTGGATTCAAGTGGTCCTCCTGCCTCAGTCTCCCAAGTAGCTGGGACTACATATGCCTGCCATCATGCATGGTTATTGTTAATTTTTGGTACTGAGAATTGAACCCAGAGGTGCTAAACCACTGAGCCACATCCCCAGCCCATTTTATATATTTTATTTAGAAACAGGGTTTTGCTGAGTTGCTTAGGGCTTCGCTAAGTTGCTAAGGCTGGTTTTGAACTCACAATCCTTCTGCCTTAGCCTCCTGAGCTACTGGGATTGGGCATATGCCACCACGTCTGGCTCTGTTATTTTGTATTTTTAAACACAATATAAAAACTTCATTCAAGCCAGGCACAATGGCATATACCTGTAATCCCAGCAACTCAGGAGACTGAGGCAGGAGGATCACAAGTTCAAGGGCAGCTGAGCAACTTTAAGACCTTGTCTCAAAATAAAAAATAAAAAGGGCTGGAAATATAGCTCATTGGTACAGTACCCCTGGACTCAATCCCCAGTACCAAAAAAAGGTTCACATGATGAACAAAGAGATGTAAGCACTGGGCATCCAGAAGAGCCACACTGCAAAAAGACACTCTGTCTCCCAGTGGAAGAACACAACACAACCGAGGAAGCAGGCGTGCAAAAGCATCAAATTTGAACATCCTAGCCTCTGGATCCAGTTACCAACTTACAAAAATACAAAGGAGAGGTGGACGTGTTAAACTATACCACCAGGTACATGCCCGTTCCTAGTATACAGGGAGCCATGAGCTCAATCCCTAGCATCACACACACACACACACACACACACACACACACACACCAGCAACCACTGTGCTAAACCATACTACAAGAAAACAATCAGCAAAATCTAGTATTGGGGGCCAGAAGAAGTGAAATCTTTTATTTAAAAGTATTAAAAGACAAATTAACCTATCACAATAAATGCTATTTAGATCCTGGTTTAAAAAAAATTAAGCCATTTATGACCAATGGAAATTTGAACCTGATTTGACATTGATGATATTAAGGATTATTTCTTCTTGTTGTTGTGTAATAGCTTTGTAGCTGTTTTTAAAAGAGCCCTTATTTTTATAGGTACACCTGAAATATTTACAGATGAAATAATACGATCCCTTTGCCTTGCTCTAAAATAATATGGGAAGACAATGACAAATGCTTCCAACAATGTAGAGAAAGGGGACCCTCATAAAATCGCTGGTAGAAGCAAACTGATAGACTAGCTTAATATTTACCAGTGATACCAAGCACCTGGTGTTTTAACTCTAGAAATGTAGAAACAGTGCTAAACTGGCTAGCAGTGTGTCCTACTACTAGCTTTAGGAAACAGTTTGGCCGTTGCTCAAAAAGCATAAATCTATCCTATGACCCAACAATTCTACTCCACTGCAGGGTATCATCTAAGAGAAATGAAAATATACAGCCCCTGAAGATTTGCATGAGTGTTTGTAGCAGCATTAATCATAACCGCCAAAAAGTGGAAACAACCCAGATGCCATCAATTGGCAAGTGGCTAAGCAACAGGTGATTTACCTGTACAAAGGAATCACATTCAATAAACAGAAACAAATTATGGTACACCATGGATGAACCTCAAACATCTAAGTAAGAAGTCCAGAAGAAAAGACCACTTACTGTGATTCCATTTTTATGAAATACCCAGAAAAGGCAAATTATATAGAGAGCTACAAAGAAGATTAGTGGTTGCCTGGAGCTGCCAACGTGAGAATGGGAATCAACTGCTAACCAGCACAAGGGATCGTCTTTTTTTTTTTTTTGGTACTGGGTATTGAACTCAGGGGCACTCGACCTATATTTTATTTGGAGACAAGATCTCACTAAGTTGCTTAGCGCCTTAAAGTTGCTTTGAACTTGAAATTCTTCTCAGCCTCCAAAGCCACTGGGATTACAGGTGTGCACCACCACACCTGGCAGCACCAGGGATCTTCTGGAGAGGTCTGGGGCTGGACAGTGGTTGACAGCTGGACAAGTTGGTAAATTTAATAACAATCACTGAATTATACACTTAAAATAGGTGACTTTTATAGTATCTAAGTTACACCTCAATAAAGTTGATTATTTATTTAACAGGGAGAGCATGAATGCAGTCCCTGAATATGACAAATCATATAATCAATTTCCCACACTTGGGGAAATCGTAGGGGTCAGAACACCCAGAGTCCAGTGGATGAGCCTCCCCTGAGAGAACCACTTTCATAATCATGGTATCTCCCCTGACGCATAAGTATAATAAAGTTGTTTTCAAAAGTAAGAAATACAGAAAAGTCTTAAGAGAAGGAATGTCAGCAGACTGAGAAAACCAGAAGAATGTTGGAAAATAAAGACTGAATTACAAAAGAAAAGATTCCTTTTTAATTAAAAACAAAATGGGAACAGGGAAATACACATGGGGGGGGCTGCACAACAATGACGATGGTGGCACATGCCTACAATCCTAGCAACTAAGGAGGCTGGGAGAGGAGGATAGCAGTTTGAGGCTAGCCTGGGCAACTTAATGAGACCTGGTCTCACTACAAAAATTAAAAAGGCTTGGAGGTGTAGCTCAGTGGCAGAGCATCCCTGGGCTCTATGCAGTACTGCAAAGGGAAGGAATATCTGCATTAGCCACTGGTTGATGGTTATTGAGGCTGGGTGACAGGTACATGGAAGCTGATTACACAACTCTGCCCATGCTGGAGTACTTGAGATTCTCCGTGATAAGAAGGTTTTTTTGTTTGTTTGTTTGTAAAGATCAATGCATATTCCTGATATTCAGTAACCTCTTCAGGCTATTCTTGTCAGTCCAGGTCCCAGTGGGATTCCTATTTCAATTTCAAGCAAAACAAGACAATCTAATACTCTTCCAAAAAGTTCTCTTCAGGTGATTTTCATTTCCTTGGACAAGAAATTAGAATGTTTACGAGAAAATTCAAAATTCCAGTACTGATTACAGAATGAGCACAATACTATTTTTGAAACATGTTACAAAGATAAAACCATTAAATAATTTAGCATTACAGGGATAAATCAATCACCAGAATTAAGCCAATTCAGTTTGCTTCTACCGATTTACAGGAATACTTTCCTATAACAATGAGGCCAGGCACCTGGTGTTTTAAATCCAGAGATGTAGAAAGAAGAGCACTGGACTGGGAGCTAGAAGGTGAGGTCCCAGTGTGTCCTACTGCTAGTTTTGCCTCCAACTTATAAACTGTATGAACTCAACGACACTACTTCATCTAAGACCAGATATCGTCCACTAAGAGAGAATTTTAAAGACAGGGTGTTCTGAACCTGGAGTGGGAAACCTGGGACAGGATTATGAAGCCTCAGACAGCCCACCAAAGTTTTGCCCAGATTTCAACGTGCACTTCTCCGCTCTCAGCAGATTCTCAAAGGGAACTAAGATCCACCATCCTTCTGAGGTTAAAAACCATTTTATTCACGGCAATTTTTATGGATCTGGCCAAGCTTTCAAATCTGAAATCTGGATTCTTTAAACTGCCTGCATTCCCAAAATACAGCGTCACGGTTACAAGACGAACTTGGTGCAACCTACAAACTTCTGTACACTGGCTTCGGGTCATAACGATGCTCTTTCCTATTCCCCAGGTGTATTAATTAACCTGTGGAACCACCGGGTCGTTGCGTGTCCGCCTTGGAGGACTTTCACCGGTGCCTTCCAAGGCCAGAGCCCAGGCCCCTCATGAAGCTGGCTGACGGGAGCTGGGAAGAGGCGCCAGGCCCCCTACTTGGAGGATTCCTGAGTAAGTAGTTCGAACGAGGAGTGACATTCCTCCGGAGAAGCTCGCTGCGGTCGCTCGGCGCCGTGCGCGCCCCGAACCTAACCGGTACACCGGGGCTGGTTCCGCGCGGCTCCGGCCAGCAGGCACCGGGGCGCGGAGGCGGAGCCGGCGGAGCAGGGACGAGGTAAAGCGGGTGAGGAGAGCGGCCGGCCAGCTGCGAGGACAGAGCCGGGACCCGGCGGGCGCGGCGGAGCGGCCCGGCCCCACCGACGCTGCGAAGCCCGCCGGCCCGACGGCCCGCAGCCCCCCGCCCTCCCGGGGCCGGGCCGGAGCCGGTGCCCCGCGCTCAGAGGCCGCGGGCCCGAGCTGCCCGGCCCGGGAGTGGCCCCGGCCCTCCCGGCCCGCCCTTACTTTGAGTGCCAGGTGGTGGACGCGGCCCAGGCCGTGCCCGGCCAGCAGCTGCAGCAGCCCCAGGACCGGGAGCAGCCGGAGGCCCGCGGCCAGCCGAAGACGGCGGGAGCCCGAGGGGCCAAGGGGCCGAGGGGCGGCCATGTTGGTTCCAGCATCACCAGCTGTTTCCTCTCCCGCCCACTTCCGGGGTCAAAGGGCGACGGCCACCGGAAGGGCCCGGGGAGGGGCTCGGCGGCGGGAATCCCACGGGCCCGGGAGTTGTCTCGCCCAAGGGCCGCCCGCCGGGTCACCCAACAGCCTCCCCGGCGCGGACCTTGTGGTCAGCCGACGGAGGCCAGGCCGCCGGGGACGCCGCGGTTGTTGCCATGGCGACGGCGGCCTCCGGGGGCGACCGCCGCCTCGCGGGGCTCCGAAGCGGCCCGGGCGGGGAGGCGGCGGCTCTTGACTGCACCGGCGTCCGGGGTGGGGAGCGTGGGGAAGCCCTGAGTGGCTGGGTCCCTTGGGTGCCTTTCGGGCCCTTCCCACGGAATCTCTGCAGAATTGGGTGCAGCAGGGGGGCGTGCTGGGACCCCTGCAGCAGCTCACTCCCTGGGACGAGCTGGTGAGACGGGAGGTAGGTGTTTTCCTCGCCCCGCTCCACAGGCGCGCCAACCTGGGCTCTAGAAATGCAGCCTTTGTTCCCGCTGGAGCCGGGGATCACTGGAAGCTCTGAGAACCGGGGCCGGGAGCGCGCACTGCAGCCGAACCTGCCGCGGCGTCCGTCGGAGATGAAGGGGTCGAGAAAACGTGGTGTCCACACAGCGGAGTTGCATTCAGCCATAAAGAAGAACGAAATTATATCATTTACAGAAAAATGGATGGAAGTAGACATCATTGTGTTTAGCAAAATAAGCCAAACCCAGAAGGTCGAGTCGTTTGTTTTCTCTTATGTGGAAGCTGCAGAGGAAAGGGGGAAAGAAAGGTCGGGGGCGGGGCAGCGATCTCCAGAAAATCAGAGGGCCATGGGTCAGTAGTGGAAAGGGCCCAGCGTGTGGGAGGAGGGCAGGGAGCGGGGAAGTGCTGGGGAGGGATGTTGGCCAAATTATCTTGCTATATTGTGTGCATGTCTAGTGTGTAACAACAAATCCCATCGTTATGTACAATTATAATGCACCAATAAAAAAATGTGGGGGAAAAAAAAGAATTGGGGCTGGGAGCATACTTCAGTGGTAGAGCCCTTGCCAAGTGTGCCCCAGGCCCTGAGTTCCATTCCCAGTCCCTACACAAAGAAACAAAAACAAAAAAGAAACCAGCCCTGTGTTGAATTTCTTTTGGCCATTTCAACCCACCAGAGGAGTCTCCGTTTTTTTCTCTTATTCTGTTTGGACACCGTCCTGGTCATTGGAACTTATCAGGACCTCCTTAATGGAAGGGCTGGGCAGTAGACCCCTTCACTCACCTTTCTTTCTTTATCAAGGAGTTATAGAAGAACATGCTTGTTAGCTTTGCCTCCTGAGTAGCCAGGTTTGTTTAGTTTTTAGAGTCTTGTTTTTAGCTTGCCACACAAGTTATATATGCTTTGTGTGTGTGTGTGTGTAACCATTTAAGTAGAAGAGGAAAAAATAAACCACCAAGAATCCCAATAACAAGTGACTACCAGTGTACTAGCGTTTTTTTTTGTTTGTTTTTTGAGGTACTGGGGCTCATGCATGCTAGATAAGCACTCTACCACTAAGCTGTACCTTAGCCCTTTAAAGAAAAAGCTTTTTTAAAAATCTTTATTTATTTATTTTTTTTATGTGGTGCCGAAGATCGAACCCAATGCCTCATGCATGCAAGGCAAGCGCTCTACCACTGAGCTACAACCCCAGCAAAAAGTTTGTTGTGGGACAGGATCTTCCCAAATTCCCAGCTGGCCTTGCACTTGCCATCCTCCTGCCTCAGGCTCCAGAGTTGCTGGGATCACAGGTGTGGGCCATCTCATCAGGCTAGTTTTGTGCCATCTTGGTCCTGAATCTGAATTTTTCCCTTAACTCAAACACCAGTAGGAAGAGTCCTGTCACACTCTTTGCAAAGACAAAAGTGGGAAGCTGAGCTGGAGCCAAGAAGATTGCAGTTTATCCTAAAATGTCTTGGTTGGTCACCATAGGAAAGGCAATGATTGCTAGTGGGCAGAGAATTCCCTTTCTTGCTGGGTACAGTGGCTCACTCCTATAATCCCAGTGAGTTGGGAGCTGAAACAGGAGGATGGAGAGTTCAAACCCAGCCTCATCAACTTAGGCCCTAAGCAACTCAGCAAGACCCTTTCTCTAATAAAACATATTTTAAAAAAAAAGCTGTGGCTTGGTGGTTAAGTGCCCCTGGGTTAAATCCCTGGTACAAAAAAAAAAGTAATAATAATATAATGTATATATTCCCTTTCTCCCCCAACCTCTGATCTTTGGCCATCTATTTTGAATGTCAGTAATGTGTGAACAGAATGAGAATAAGAAACTCTAGAATTATAATATTTATGACTCCACACATTATCTTACTTAGCATCACAAAAACCTTATAAAGGTTTGGTTTGGGTTTGTTTTGATACTGGAGACTAAACCAAGGGGCACTTAATCACCCTTTTTAATTTTGAGACAGGGTTTTGCTAAGATGCTTAATTAAGGCCTCACCTAGCTGCTGAGACAAGTTTTGAACTTGTGATCCTGTTGCCTCAGCCTCCAAGTTACTGGGATTACAAGCATGTGCCACCACACTTGGATTAGGTATATATTTTAATTCCCTTGTGTTTTCTGATGGGGCTTGGATGGGTTGATTAATCTGTTCAGGGACTCTACTCATTTATGAATGACCCAACTGGAACTCTTCCTCCAGGCCCTGTGTACAAAGCCTAGCACATAATCTCTGTCCTGCATTGTTGTAAAGAAAGGTGTTTGCATACTATAGTAGGCTGGAAGGGTCCTTAGCTAAGGTAGATGAAGATCCATCTACCTTATTTAATAGATGTGAAAACAATTCCAGGAAACTTAAATGACTTGCTCATGATCAGACAACCAGGGGCTAGGGATTTAGTTAAGTGGCAGAAGGCTTGCCTAGCATGTGCATTCCCCTGAGTTCAGTCCTCAGTCCTGGGGGGAAAAAGCAAGAAAGATCAGACAATGAGTTGAGTGATTTTTAAGAAGCTGGAGATGGGCTCAGTGGTACACACTTGTAATTCCATAACTAGGGAGGCTGAGGAAGGAGGGTCTTAAGTTTGAGGCCTCAGCAATTTAGTAAGACCCTGCCTCAAAGTAAAAAAGGCTGGGGTTGTAACGGCTCAGTGGTTAAATGCCTTGGGGTTCAATTTTCAGTAACCCACCCCCCACCCCAAAACAAACAAAAACCCCCAACTACCACCTCTACCAACAAGACAAAAAAAAAAAAACAACAAAACAGGATTGGAATCTCAGCTGCTTTAGAATTGGCTCTGGGTTTCTTGTACTTTATCACACGTTGCTTTCTCAGAATTTTACTTTTTAAAAAAGGGAAAGCCCAGAGTCTGACTCCGGTATGTTATGAAATGTAATGCTAAAGAAGCTTTCAAAAAGCATTTTTAAAAGCAGCTGCTGGGAGTGTAGCCCAGTGGTACAGCACATGCTTAGCATGTGACAGGTCTTGGGTTCAAGTCCCAGCACCAAAATATTTAAAAATCAGCAATATAAAAGAACACAATAAGAGTGTAAAATAAGTGACATTTCTTCTAGGTAGCAAGAAGACATTAAAGTCAGGTGATTCTCACTTCTGTTTGAAACTACCCTTAAAGGCAAAGGTGATTTCTAAGTGTAGTTATTTTTCTGTATTCTGAGATTTGAGCCTCCTAGGCAGGAGCTCTACCATTGGCCAGAGGCAGTGGCACATGGCTATAATCCCAACATCTTGGGAGGCTGGGACAGGAGGATCAAGAGCTCAAAAGCCAACCTCAGCAACTCAGCAGGACCCTGTTTCCAAATAAAATATAAAAAATGTCTGGGGATGTGAATCAGTGGTTAAGTGCCAGTGCTGCTGGGTTTAATTTCTGGTACCAAATAAATAAACAAAAACCCTATCACTGAGCCTCAGGCCGCCATACTTTTAAAGTTAGGCACCTCCTGACACAGTGGCACACACTTGTAATACCAGTGACTTTGAGAGACTGGTGTAAGAGGATGGCAAGTTAAAGGCCTGTGTTGGCAACTAAGTGACGCCCTCTCAAAATAAAACAGAGCTGGACATCTAGTTTAAAAGTAGCGCATCTTGGGTTAAATCCCAAGTGCCACAAAATAAATAAATAATCTAATTAGGAGCCATTTTTTAGAATTTCTAGTTTTAAATTTGAATGTAATACTAAAAACAGGAAATGAGCAGGTAGAGTTCTAGTTCCTTTCAATAATACAATAGTGATGAAACATTAAAATAGTTTCAAAGTAGAAAATATTATCTTTTAGTCTTTCAGTTTCCAGAAAATGGTTTTACAAGGGCTTAAAATTGGATTATGAATCCATGCTTTTTATTTTATATTTTTATATTATTATTATTGAGACTGGATCTTGCTAAGTTGTCCAGGATGGCCTTGAATTTCATATCCTCTGAACCACTGTGCCAGGCAATTCCTTACTTTTTTATACTTGGATTTTTTTTTTTTTTTAAATACCAGAGATTGAACCCAGGGGTGCTCAAACACCGAGCCACATCCCCAGCCCTTTTTATTTTTTTATTTTGAGACAGGGTCTCAAAAAGTTGCTCAGGTCCTTGCTGAGTTGCTGAGGCTGACCTTGAATTTGCAGTTCTCCTGCCTCAGCTTCCTGAGCTGTTGGGATTATAAACATGCGCCTCCTGGGGACCTCTTTAGGGTCACTCTGGTGGTATCTCCCAGGAGTTTGTGATGAATATCTTCCTTCACATATTTGAGAGCTGTATTGTCCCAATTATTATTCTGGAATCAAGAGGAATAAGAAATAGAAACTTAGTTAATAGTCTTTGGTTACAAAGTCTTTGAAAACTGGTTACAAAGACAATGTGGAATATTTTGGGGGCAGTTACTTTTTAAATTCTGAGAAAACTGCTACTTTGGCAATTATATTTAAGTATGTAACTTAAGAGTTTTAAGAAAATGATTTGCATAATCATATACTGTAACTGGAAACAGACATGTGGAGTAGCAGAACGGGTTATGTCTGATTTTCCCTGGCAACATTTTCAAAGGGACATTAAACTTGAAGGTTCTGAAGCCTACAGGGGCAGGATAGGCTGATCTCCCGAACTTGACTTTGAGCCTTACTCTCTTAGTTCAGTTCTTTTCTTTTTCTGTTTTCTCTAAGTCTGCGGGATCAACTAAAGGTTGTTATTAGTGACAGAATGTGTAGTTTGAATAGTGTGCTATTGATAGTATTGGGCATCAGTTTGGAGATTTCCATTTTAAGTAACTCATAGGTTAATATTCTCTGAGTGTAATAAGGTAAAATTGCCATTTGTTTTTCTTATCAGAAGAGATGGTATTGCAACTGGGTGGTGGCACACATACCTGCAATCCCAGCGACTGGGTAGGTTGAGACAGGAGGATTGCAAGTTCGGGGCCAGCCTTAGCAACTTAGTGAGGATCTGAGCAACATAGTGAGACCCTGTCTCAAAATTAAAAAGGACTGGGAATTCTAGCTCAATGATTAAGTGCCCCTGGGTTCAATCCCTGATTTAAAAAATAATAATAATCAAACAAAAATGAGTATTTCAGACCCCAAACCTCTATAAACACAGTATGAGGATCTACAGGTAAATTGGGGCCTGGCAATATATTTTGAAAACAAATATCATTTTTTTTTTCTTTTACTTGAAATACTGTGTCTTCCAGGATTGCAACTAAGGTTTTCAGGCATTTCTTGGGCATGGTGGGAGAAGCCCTTGAGGGCATCTTTTTGCAGAAAGCAATCCTGGAAAAGCCAGTTCCTGAAGGGCAGGATGTCAGTTCAAGGGCCCCAACATACCTTGAACCCTGTGGGTTGGAGATGAACTTGGAAACCGCTTCTCCTCCACCTGGTGGCACAGCATGCACCTTGCTCAGCCATAGGACAGCTAGTTTTTTGTTTTTTTTTTTTTTTTCTGATTTTATGTATGTCTTTACAGACCTTCAGGGGGAAGTAAATGATCAGGTATAAAAATTAGTTATAGTTTTTAAATTGTATGCACCACTAAGTTCCTAGTTTTACCCTACTCCAGCTTCTCTGACTCCACTGCTTTCTTGGTTTCTTAGTACAGATGGTCCCAGCAGGCTATGGTGGAAATTTTTAGTGTTGTGATGGGTTTATTGAAGTGTTAAGTATATTTCTGACTTGCAAGAGTTTTGACTTAAAATGGGCTTATTGGGATGTAACCCTATCATAAATCGAGGCACATCTGTAGCTTTGAGTCTTAAAGAAATGGAGATTTTAAGCTAATAATGATGGGAGCTTTAAAAAAAAATGTGTGTGTGTGTGTGTATATATTTGTAGATGGACATAATATCTTTATTTATCTATTTTTATGTGTGCTGAGGAGTCGAACCCAGGGCCTCACACATGCGAGGCAGGCACTCTACCACTGAGCCAGAGCCCCAGCCCAGGAGCTTTTTTTTTTTTAATGCTGAGAATTTCATTCAGAGCAGTCCTTTACCATGGGCCATTAGTTAGTTGCAGGTCATGGGGGTCTTGCTGCAGCAGAAATGTTCAAGAACTGCTTTCCTTGGTATAACAGTAAAACTGAAAGCAGAGGAAAGGGAGTCCTACTCATGGGCTTGCCTACTAAGCATTTCACACATATATTTTTTTTGAATCTTTACAATAACCTTTGAAGTAAGTAGCATTGTTGCCATTTGAAGAGGCAGAGGTTGAGGGCGAAAGCAGCACAGCTCTCTACAGTTTGCACAGTACCAGGGCACACGCTCGCCCCTAGCTCCTGCATTTCATTCTAACCTATGAGGTCCCTGTTTTATGAATGAGAAAAATCAAAGCTCAGAGAATCTAAGTAATTTGCGAAAGGCCTCATATCTAATAAGTAGTAGGACATCAGGGTCCCCTTTTAACAATTATGAAAATCCTATTACTTTAAAATCTTATGTCTGTCTGTAGCTATCTATATGTTCATCAAAGCCTGAGAATTAGATGGTTATTAATTGCAAGCAGGGATAGAATTGCAAAAATAAATAAAATAAAAAACAAACCCTAATATAATTGCTTGCTTTTTTTTTTTTTCCTTGTACTGAGGATTGAACCCAAGGCTGCTTTCCCACTGAGCTACATCTCCAGTCCTTTTTGTTATTTATTTTGAGACAGGGTCTCACTAAGTTGCTCAGGGCCTTACTAAATTGCTAAGACTGGCCCTTAACATTTAATACTCCTGCCTCAGCCTCCTGGGTCACTGGGATTACAGGCATGTGCCACCACATCTAGTCAATCCTTTGCTTCTAACTACACAGAAATCTGTATAGGGTCTCAGTTCTGTCAGTGCTCCTATTTCCCACACGATCAGATTATTCATTGGCAATATATGAAGTCACCCACTTAGATCCTAACTTTGTAAAGACATGTTAGTCAATGTTCCCTAAATATAACTGAGAGGTGAAACAGGTGTTTATAACCCAGACTAACCCCTTTGGTCATTCCAGCATTTATATAGACAGGGTTTTGAATACCCCTGGAGAAAGTTGATTCCTAGGTAGGTAAGGTCACAGTGGTTTCAATAGTGAAAAACCCTGTCTTGTGACCACTCCCTCTTACTCTAAGGGAGACAGAATGTGTTTAGTCCTTCCTAAAAAAATACTATGCAGTACTTATTCTTTTTTCCTGCTGACTTATTTCCTTTTATCCTGGACCCTGTTGTTTTCTTCACTTCAAGATTAATGTTGACTTTCTCCTTTATTTTTTGAAAATTCTCTTTCAAACATTTTCTATTTACCACCAAAACTTAATCAACTTAAAGATATTTGCAGAGTGGTATAATTAACTCAGTTCTGCTGTGGCTTTAAATGTGTCTTTACAACTAACAGTTTCCTGCTTACTCATCTTAAAAAGTTTCATCTTCATGTGGTGCATCTTCCTCTCTCCCCCTCCCCCCCATGGGCCATCCTTTCCTCCTCCTCTTTCTCTTTAAAGCAGCAGATTGCTTTACCTTCTGATTAACCTATTTTTGCAAGTGGTCACTATTTTTGAGAACTATCCAAGAACTCTAGATTAGATCATTGTGTTTGAGCAAGGCTTGGAAGGAAGGGAAATCGTGGTGATTCTGTGGCAGGGTCTTGGTAGATAACCTGCATTTCATTGACCATTTCCAGCTGTTAGACTAAACTGCAGGGCTGTTTACATTTCCAGCCCCTCCAGCACACCCAGGCTATTAATCTGTCTTGGCAGGGAAGTGGCTGGCCATTCTGATTGTTAAACTTCTAGCAGTCTCCGGAATAAGGAGTACTGAGACCTGGTAACTGTGAGAGCAAAATATTTAAACAGACAGAAATGGGAGGTGGGAAGGAAGGGAGGTGGGTGCTTGTAACTGGAAAAAGGCAGACCAGAACCTTGACAGTTTAAATGTAACTGTTCAACAAAGGAAGTAGATTTGGAGGTTTATCTGCAAGGGGTTTGCAACTCCACCCTGTCATGCAAGAGAATGATAAGCAGGTTGAGTGGAGGGTGGGATTGGAAAAATGAATCCTTGTGAAATAGTTTTTAAATAGGGGCCGATTTAGGGCGTCCATGTTTACTCAGGAAAGGATCCAGTAGTAGCATTAACTGAAAAAGAAAAGTTATGAGGAAGGGGCCTAATGGTTCTGAGGAAATAACTCCAAAAATCCCCCATAGGTTGAAAAGATATTTGTGTGGACCTTGAGAACATATAGAAAGAAAGGGAGCGGGTAACCCAGATAAAGTGCGTTCTCGGTTTACCAACTCTAGGCCAAGTTCCCATCGCCTGGATCCACACCACCACAGGGTGACACTGATACATAAGCGCTTGCAGTTGCCAGAAGGGCTCTAAGCGTCTACAGATGGAGGCATCGTCCGAGACCACCCAGCGCTTATGTGTGGCCCCTGGATTTGAACCAGGTAAGTTCTCTGTGGTCCCAGCAGCGCTTTTGCTCTGCCCATTTGGGAAGGTGATTTCAAGTCTGAGGGTCTTGGCGAAACATAAAAAATCACTGTTCTCAGAGATGTGAAATCAGGCTGTAGCCCCTGAGTCCTTCGGAGCTGCTTAGTCGCTGTCTGCCTGGACGCCCCTAGCTACAGTGCCGGACATCACGGTCCCAGGCCCCCATCCCACCGCGCAGCTCTGCCAGGCTCCTCGGGCCTCCGCGGAGGCTGCGCGGTGGGAAGAGCGTGCAGAGAAGCAGGTCGGCGCGAACGGCTGCGGGGAAAGTATTGTTCTGCAGCCCCGAGCAGCCCCGGCGGTGGAGGAACACCAGCCTCGCCAGAGCCTGGGTAATAACAGGGACCGGCGAGGTTCAAAGGCGAGCGACGGTCCTGAGAGCGCACAGCGCGGCTGCCCATAAGTAAAGGGGAGACTGACACAGTCCTCCGGGTTTCAGGGCCGGCGGGCACTGGCGCCTCCCAGCGCGTCCTTCCGTACCCCTGGGCGACCCGCCCCTGTGCAGGGAGCCGGCGAGAGGGTGGGCCGGGCCGGGGGCTAGGCGGCCGCGCGTGCGCGAGCTGTCAGGCCGGCCCCGCCCCCGGCGCGGCCCCGCCCGCCCCTCCCTCCGCGCGTCCCCTCCCTCCGCGCGTCCCCTCCCTCCGCGGGTCCCCTCCCTCCGCGTGTCCCCTCCCTCGGCGCGTCCCCTCCCCTCGCTCTCCCGGTGTGGGGCTGGCGGGCGCTGCGGCGGTCGCGGCTGCCGCTTCCTCGGGCCATTTTGCTGTGGCGCGACAGAGAGGAGAAGCTGTCGAGGGGACCCAGGGCTCGGAGCCGCGATCCCGAGCGGGCGGCGGCCGCACGGACTCCGTCTTTCCGCGGTCGCGGGGATCTCGAGGGGCGAGGCGATCGCCGGGAGGGGGACCGGAGAGCCGCGCCCGCCGCGCGGGGCGCCCCTTCCCGCCCCCTGCACCATGAGCTGGGGCACTGAGCTCTGGGTGAGTGAGGGGCAGGGCCGCCGGCGGCCGGGTCGGTGCGCGCGCGGGCTGCGTTTCCCCGCGGCCTGGGGGGGAGGCGCGGGTCCCGGTGGCCCCGCTGGCCTGGGCCGAGCAGGAGGTGCCGCCAGTCCGCCTTCTGGAGGCGAGGGGAGCTGTGGTCCCCGCCGGTCTGAGCCGCGGACGCGGGTTGGGTCCGATCGGCCCGAGAAGGAGAAGGGGGCCGGGTCGCGCTGCCGCCCGGGAGGAAGGCGCGGGTCCCGGTGCTCTGCGGCCCGGGAGGGGGCGCGGGCCGGCCTCCCTCTCCCCGGCGCCCCGAGGCCGGCGGGCGTGTGGGGAGGAGCCTTCGTCCCCGGGGCGATGCCCGGACCGCCGTGGCCCGGGGCGCGGAGGCCCTGGGCTCTGCTGGGCTGCGTAACGCGTGCCGGCGCCCGCGGCTGGGTCCTGGGCTGCCTTCCCCCTGCCCCGGAGCCGGCGCTCCCCCGGGGGCGGGGCGGCCGCGGCGGGCTCCGGTCCCCGCCTTGGGTTTTGGGGTGTCAAGGACGAGAAGTGAGGTCTTCCCTCTGGAAGCGGGGACTTGGGACCCGCGCCGTTCGGGGCGCACTTGTTCTTTGGGGCAACTCGGATCCTGAATTTGAGGGGGCTGCGGCGTTTGGCCTGGAGGAGGAAAGTAGTAGGAGTTAGAAGGCTTTCGTTATCCATTTCAGGAAAGAGCATTCGCAGGGTAAGCCGTTCTTTATCTGCTGCCCAGAGGAAACAGTTTCAAGTGGGCAAGGTCGGCAGTGAGGGCTGCCTGGGCCGGTGCCCTTAGCCCGGGGTAAACAAGCGGCTTGGTGCCTAGAAGCTGTCGCCGCACCGAGAGCCTCCAGGCGACCCAAGGCAGTTCACAGGCCATACCCGCGGGGAGAGGCTGTTTGGGACCCAGATTGTTTCCCTGCCCTCCCCAGGCTCTTGGGGAGATCACTGGGTCAGAGACGGCAGTGCAGTGGTCAGGGGCAAGAGCCGCGGAAATCTCGATTGTTGCCCTGAACTGTGCTCAAGAACGCTGTGGCCCAGGATGAACTCCAGGATGAAGCAGAAGTGCCTGCTTCCTACCTTTTGGAATTCCATTTGTGAAGGGTGTGGAGGAGAAAGTGTGGGGTGGTGGTTGCTGTCTGGGATGAGGCCAAGAAATCTCATGTCAAAATAAAACAAGGTTAGAGCAATTACAGAAACAGAGCGCATCCTCCCTGAAAGAAAAAAAAAATGGGCTTTAATTGTTTTTACATAACCATTTCTTAGGCTCCAAAGCAGCTACTGTTAGTAATACTAAAATCCTGAGGGCAAAAGCTCCCTTAAATTAAGATAATTCATTTTATAAACATCCTCTGTCTAAAGGGATTCATGACAAAATTTTAGCTGATGTTTACAAATATTCATTTTGAAAATAAATTAACGGTTTAACATATTTGCACCCAATTAGGCAGAGATCCACTCCTTTAGGTCTGTGTTTCTTTCCTCTTCAGTGCCTCTTCTACTTACTTTGACTTTTTTCCCCCTTTTGTATTGGGGATTGAATCCTGGGGTGCTTTACCACTAAGCTACATCTCCAACCCTTTTATTTTTTATTTTAAGACAGAGGCTCACTGAATTACTGAGGTCAGCCTAACACTTGAGAGCCTCCTGCCTCAGCCTTCACAGTTGCTGGGATTACAGGCAGCCGCCTCTGGGCCCTGCTCCCCTTTTATTTTTTTAGGTTATTTGAGGATGGGGGAACATATCAGAAATAATCCTCATCAAGAGGATATAATTTCTTTTCCCCAGTGTTCAATTTATGGAGGGAAAAATACAATATGTTTCTGAGTGAAATAGGGACAGACATGGAGGTAAGCATTCCATAGTGAAGTCGGTGAAATGTCACAGCAGGTATCTCAATCAAGGGGTGGGTGGCTGGGGGAAGAAATGATAAAATAGCTCCCACTGCCTGCATCATTCTGTAGATATTTCTTTTGAGAATGGAGGGAAGGGAAGGACGACAAGGACAGGAGTCACTGAGAATAAATGGGTGGGGGAAGGTACTGGGCATGATATTGACCAGGTTATGTGTGTGTGGTGTATGGCACGATGAATCCCACACTGAGGTACAGTTATGATACATCAGTAAAAAGCAAATGGGGGCTCAGTGGTGGAGCTCTTGCCTCACACATGTGAGGTACTGGGTTCCATCCTCATTAAAAAATAAATAATTTTAAAAATTAATTTTGTTTAAAGGTATTATAAATAAATAATGAGGTACTGAAATGTATATGAATGATACAAAATCTTGCGCTTGCCTCAGAATTTGCAGTGGTAGTGGGTGGAGGATATTGAAACAAAATTGGTCCTGAAGGTAGTTATTGTAATTGGATGATGGCTGCAGAAGAGCCCCTGCTCGTATTCCTTCTACTGTGTATGCGTGAAATTTCTACATGAGAATAATTGAAAAACATTTTAAGGTAGAAATTGTGAAGTATTGGAACATTTTTTTCACTTGGTAACTTGAAGAGGAAGAGTGAGCCAGTCAGCAGGTCTGTAAGTACAAATAGGGGCCGAGGGGTTGTTTTCCAAGGCATTCCTGCCTGGGGAGCTCTGCCGTGAGCCGCTTACTGTTCAGTGGAGGTGAGGGAAAGAGCACAGTACTGCAGGACTGAAAAAGGCCACATTTTTAGTTTTAATTTGAAATGCAAAGACACACAGGGCAGCCAAATGCCCATCTTCAGCTGCCTTAACCTATTAGTGGTTGTTGGGATTAAACATGAGAGCAGCTGGAGCTGAAGAACAGGCCCCATTCCTGGTGGTCAGAGGTTGAGATGTGCGGTGCCTGGGCAGCCCAGAGGAAAGCAGTGATTGAAGGTTTTCCTTAAATGGTGGCTTGGGATCATGCACATGTGTAATGAGATAATGACGGGGCCCTAAAGCCTCACTTGGCAGAGTCATGCTTCTAGATGGAGAGACCGCCTATGGTTTGGGTGGCCCTCAGTTATTTGTAACAGGTGGTTGCAGCTTGCATGGACCTTCACAAATGCAATCAGACTTTGCACACATTGTAGGACTTTAGTGAAGTCCACGTCCTGCATTTTAAAACTGCAGGTTTCAGGGCTGGGGAGGTAGCCCCGTGGTAGAGTGCTGGCCTGGTATTTGCAAGGGCCTGGGTTTGATCCCCAGCCCACAGGAATTAAAAAAAAAAAAAAATGCATTTCACACTAAAGACCTGCTTTTAAGCCACATCCTGCTTCTAGAGGTAGTTAAACCTTTCTCTTGTTCCTTGAATATTTTATAAAAATGAATCATATTCTAGGAAAGTTTTGAGAAATTGTCATTGTCAGGAAGTTATCGTGCAACTATAAAAATGAACTCAAAACCTGTAATTTGTGATAATTTTATTGGATTAATTTATGTTTAAGTTGGGCTTTTGTTTTGTTTTGGTGTGGTCCTGGGGACTGGACCTGGGCCCTGCGCATGCTGGGCGAGTGCTGCACCATCTAGCTACATCTCCAGCCTCACATTGGGCTTTCAATTTTTTTTTTTTTTTTTTTTTTTTTTTGTAGGGGCGGGTGGCTTTTGTTCTGTTTGTATCAGAATGTTATAACAAAGTTAAATGGCTATTTTAAAGAAATTAGGTTTGGGGCTGGAGTTGTGGCTCAGTGGTAGAGCGATTGCCTAGCATGTGTGAGGCACTGGGTTCAATCCTCAGCACCACATTAAAAAGTAAACTAATAAAATGGAATTTAAAAAAGAAAAGAAAGGAGAAAGAAATTAGGTTTGAATAAAATTATCTCTGGCCGGGTGCAGTGGTGCATGCCTTGGAAGACTGAGGCAGACTTAGTGAGACCCTGTCTCAGAATAAAAAATAATTAAAAAAATAAAAGGGGGGTGGCCAGGAATGTGACTCAGTGTTTACATGCCTCTGGGTTCCATCCCTGATACAAAAGGAAAAAAAAAAAAACTCATAAACTTTTCATAAATTCACCTTTGATTTTTTAAAAAAGTTTATTGAACAGCTACTGTACAAGGCCCCTGTTCGAGTCTGTTGTCACAATATATACATTGAGTGATCTCTACTTATTTCTATGAAAGCAGATAAATAGGTTTTACCTCTAGGCTGCAACATCAGAATCAAAATAAACATTTATGGCTTCTTTCTTTCTGGTGCTGAAGATTGAACCCAGGGCCTTGTGCACGTGAGGCGAGCACTCTACCAGCTGAGCTCTATCCCCAGCCCTTATGTTTCTTTTTTTTTCTTTCTTTTTTTTTTTTTACAGTGCTGGGGATTGACCCCAGGCCTCATGCATGCCAGGAGAATGCTGACATTTAAGTTTCTATGTAAGATTAACCAAAAAAGGCCTGGGGATGCAGCTTAGTGGTGTAGTGCTTGTGCAAGGCCCTGGGTTCAACTTCCAGAACCACCAATTTAAAAAAAAAAAAAAAAAAAAGTAGAAGAAGAAGAAGCCAAAAGGCATTTACTTAACACTTTGTTTAAAAGGTAATATCAACAGGGTAGACTTGTCTACCACCTTTTTGAAATTGTGACTGGTCATTGGAGAGATGGCAAAGCAAGAGTCTTGGAGTGGGTTTTTTGTACCTATTTATTGGAAGGCAGTGACAGGTTATTCAAGTGTGGGTCCAACTTTTTGTTAGCTGGCTCATTAGTGTGACATATGAATAAATCCATTGGAAATTTTAGCTCTGTCACCATTGCAGGTTTGCAGTTCCCAGATTGTTCATTGACAGACCTGGTTTTGCTGTCACCTGGTGTCCTCTGCACCATCCTTATTTCTTTTTGCTCAGGTGCTAATGAGAAACGAAGCAGCCAGCATACAAGAAAGAGAACAGGGAGTCCCGAGCAATACATGTTGGTCAGCTAGTGAGAAGCACCTCAGTATATTCTATGTGAATCCTTTCTGACCTGTGTTTTTAAGGTAATGTCAGACACATAATGTACGTCCACCTATGCTGACTCTATTGACATGGGTTGCAGGATGCACTTTGAATAGGCAACAGTGTAAGAATCATCTACCTACTGTCCTGGGAATGATGCCTGACTCCATATAGGAGTTCAATAAATATTTACTAAATGAATGATCGAGTTCTTTTTTTTCCCTTTTGTTTTAACATTTACTTTTTAAAAAATCGTAAGAAGGTCATTATAACACCTTCCTGCATTTTCAAAATTATACTTGGCAACTTTTACATAGCTCTAGGTACCTTTTTAAAGAAATAGTCTCTTTTTAGAGCAGCTTTAGGTTCACAGCAGAGTTGAGTGGGAGGTACAGAGACATCTCATTTCCTCCAGCCCCCACCCATACGTACAGGCAAACCGTCTAGGTACCCTTTGTCTTCTGCTGTGTATCTGGAGGCCTTGCGTGCTAGGCGGATGCTCCCCCCCCCCCCCTCCAGCAACACCCCAGAGGCTCTGACTTTTAAAGTCAGGTTGAAAAGTTACTACTCCACTGTCATTCATGCTACTCATGCCTGATAAGTATAGGTGTATTTATATAGGAAATTTAAAATGTGTTAAAATTTTAAACAAGGTAATACTTAATCTTTTTTAATCTTGAAGTAATTATTAACAGTTTGAGGTTTTGAGAATAATGACTTCTCCTTGCTCCCTTGATGGCTAAATCGGAGCCTTAACAACCGTGCACAGCTTTCCTGCTCTTTCTTCTTTGCCCTTCAAAGATTCCTGTTTGGGAAGAACATAGCAAGGCTGCCAGGCGAGGTAGCGCTTCCCCAACTATGGGGGCAGGACAGAGTTCCTAGGAAGAGAGGATGAATGAGATTAATTCTGTCATCTTCACTCCAACACGCTTGCACCCCGACTTTCCTGTGAGCAGATGGTAATTGAAAGGCAACAAAACTGGGGCGGCTTGGTGGGTCCAAGGCTCCTGTTCACATCAGCCTGTTGCTTTTTCCTCCTGCGGTAGACAGGATCCTGCACAAAGCCTGTGCCGCATTTGGTAGGTAAAACTCCTTCGAGTCCCCCAAGGAGTTTGTAAGGGTCCTCCCCTACCGTGTGACCGCTCTGCCACTCGTGTTTCTGGAAGGACTGTCCAGGATCTCCTGCTTCCCCTCTTCGGCCGATATTGCTTCCTGCAAGGATTACTCATGCTCCTGCATCAACACCACCCACATTTAAAAATAAGGTTTTATTTTGACACTTAAAAATTGCATGCTACCAAGAATAAATGAGTGCCCTGGGAAATGAATCTAATTAGATTTCAGAATGTGGGTGTGAAGTCTCCTGGAATTCGTGTTTATGAGGAAATATTTGTCTCCTGTTTTAGCAACGTGTACTCTTACTAGCTAGAGCCTCACGGGGTGTCAAGTTTAAAATTTTTTTAAATCACAAGAAGCCAAATATGCACATTATATTAGAGAGCAATTTGGAGATATATGAGGTTTTAAAAATGCAATACCACTAACAATTGTTGTTGTTTTCAAGTGTGACCCAGCTGTCTTGGACTCAAGGACCCTCCCACCTCAGCCTTTCCAGGACCTGGGACTATAAGCTTGTTTGTTTGTTTGTTTGTTTTGGGTCTTCCAATGAGAACCAACTTTAAATTTTTTTTTTTTTGTAGTTGTAGATGGACAGAATTGACTGAATTTTATTTATTTTTATGTGATGCTAAGGATCAAACCCAGTGTCTCACATATGCTAGGCAACCACTCTGCCACTGAGCCTACAGCCCCAGCCCAGAACCAACTTTTTTGGGGGGGTACCGGGATTGAGCTCAGGGGCACTTGGCCAATGAGCCACACCCCCAGCCCTGTTTTGTATTTTATTTAGAGACAGGGTTTCATTGAGTTGCTTAGTGCCTTGCTTTTCCTGAGGTTGGCTTTGAACTCAGGATCCTCCTGTCTCAGCCTCCCAAGCTGTTGGGATTATAGGCGTGTGCCACCGTGCCCAGCCCCAGAACCAACTTTTATTTCATAAGCCTCATCCTATTTGTAAGATTTTGTGTTAAATTTACATAACTTCCATTGTTGATACTAACCAACCAACAAGAAAAGAAATATAGATGGGACTTCATTTCCTTATTGCAAAAGCCTAAGTCTGTTCACATTTAGACTATAACATTACATGAAATATATGGTGTTCCCTTTTTCTTTTTCTTTTTTCTTTTTTTTTTTTTTAATTAGGACATGCCATTCTAATACTCAGAATTAGTCTTTGGTTTGGTTTGGTACTGGGGATCAAACTCATGGGCATTTGATCACTGAGCTACATCCCCAGTCCTCTTTATTTTGTTTTTTTCATTTTGATACAGGTTCTCATTAAGTTGTTCAGGTTGGCTTTGAACTTGCAAACCTCCTGCCTGACCCTCCCGGTTAGTGGGATTATAGATGTGGGCCATCGCTCCCAGCCAGAATTAGATTTTTGCTCAGGATTTTTTTTTTTTTTGCTACCGTGGATTGAACCCAGGGATTCTTTACCACTGAACCACATCCCTAGCCCTTTATTACATTTTATTTAGAGACAGGGTCTCACTGTTTTGCTTAGGGCCTTGAAATTCTTGAGGCTCGCTTTAAACTTTTGATCCTCCTGCCTCAGCCTCTCAAACTGATGGGATTATAGACGTGTGCAAGGGTGCCCAGCTCAGAATCTGATTTTTCATAGTAATTAGTTCACAATTCTTAAACTAGCTTCTACAGTTTCCTTGTATCCATTTCAGCAGCTACAGATTCCATTTGTACTTTTGTAGTCTGTGTTTTCTAAAACTGGAAACAGCTTATACATGCCTAAACTCTGGCCATCTGGTACCATTTCACCTGTATGCCGATCACGGAAGCCCTGCTGGTAAGTGCTCTCATCCTTGAGTTGGTTGAGAGCTTGCGGCGCAGCCACTCCTGCTGCTCAAGTCCTTGGTGCAGTGACGGTGTGGGTGCAGGAGGTTGGGGAGTAGCCCTGTGACAGGAAAAGGGAGGAAAGCAGCAGATCAGAACACCAGGCCCCGTGCGCTCCAGAGCAGAGATTACCTAATCAAGGAGTCGCTCTTCCTGCAGAAATGGTCCGACTCCTTTCCCCCACCTAGCTCCTTTGTTAGCCGGGGTTCGCTCCATGAAGAGTGGGACCTTGGCTACCATCTTGCTCAGGCGTAGGCTGGGGTGCTGTAGAAAACATGACCTCAGCTCAGAAGATGAGGCCAGCCTCAGGGGACACGCCTGGCAGCTGGGCAGCCAGTGCTCTGCGCATCAGCCCCACCACTGGAAACCCTCTCATGATGGAGCCGCTGAGGCTCAGATGGAAAAGAACTCATCCAAGTTCACAGAGTAGAAACCCGGATTCAACCCAAGGTCTTTCAGGCTATAGATTCCCTTCTCTATCTTTTTATTTATTTATTTATTTATTTCCTTTTTTGTGGTGCTAGGGATGGACCTTACACATGCCAGGCAAACACAGCCACTGAGCTAGGGCCCAGCACCCCTCCAAACACTGTCTATCTATTTATACCTTTATTTTATGTATTTATTTTTTATATGTGGTGCTGGGATCAAACCCAGTGCCTCACACGTGCTAGGCAAGTGCTCCACCACTGAGCCACAATCCCAGTCCCTCCAAACACTTTTCTTAAGTGCATAACTTTAAAAGTTATCATTATTGTTTGTTTGTTTTGGTCACTAGGGGTACTTTTCTATTGATCTTGCTAACTTGCTGAGACTGGCTTGGGATCCTCCGCCTCAGCCTCCCAAGTGTCTGAGATTTCAGGCCTGCACCTTTGTGCCTGACTATTGTCTGAACTTTTTCACGTAGACATTTTCAAACAAATTTAGAGAAAACAATGTTACGAGCCCCCATGTCCCCGTGACCCAGCTTCACGGATGATGACGTTTTGCCATTCATTGTCTTGTGTCCACGTGTGCTTTTGGAGTCCTCAGTCTCTGGTGCTACGCGTGGTCATGTTCTGCTTCCTTGCTTTTGTGAAAAACCATACAAAGGACTCAAATCCCCTCCCCGCCCATCTTTTAAAACATGAACATAGAGAGAAAAAAAAACAAACATGAACATAGAAGAGAACTGACATTTGTCAAGTGCCCAAAGCACCTTGGTTAGGGGATTTCAGTACAGCCTCCATAACCTAAAAAGCACCTGGTGAATTTGCCTTTTGTCTCCATCTTATGGATGAGTCTCAGAGGGAAGTCACTTACCAGGGTCACCCGGACAGTGAGGGCTACTTCTAGAGTTTTATCATAACTTGTTTCTTTAGTTTTTGTTTTTGTTTGGTTTTATTCTTTTTTCAACACAAAGTAAGTTGATAATAGTTTTAAAAACTGCACCTTCTGTATCCGTAGCTCACAGTTCCCCATCCCACCCCTCACTCCTGTGAGGTTTTGCTTTGTGAAACTCTTGGGGCCTCTCATATTGACAAGCCGTGACTCACACTGCTGTGGCTGCGGACCTCGCAGCAACAGTCATGAATGAAGTTTAACACCAGCAGGCTGTCTGCTGGTGCTAAGTGATCCTCTCCTTCTTTCAAACCCAGAGTTTGGGGTTCTGGTGCTGGAGGTAAGCCCGGGGCTCCTGCATGCTAAGCAAGTGCTCTACCACTGAGGTACACCCTCAGAGATTAGTTTGTCTGGATCCTAATGATTAGTATCAAACTTCCGACTTTGTGTCTTACAAGCGTGCCTTGGTGAAAGAATTTATTTCTTTACGTATTTTGCAGTGCTGGGAGTCGAACTCAGAGCCTCACTCCTGCTAGGCAAGTGCTCTATCATGAGCTACACCCCGCAGGCCCGTTCAAGGAATTTTAATTGAATGGAGAAAGAGCAAGGAGGAATCTAGGTATTGGCCTCTTTGGGGTACTCCATATGTCACAGGCAGGACTCTCAGTTTTGCTGCTTCTTCCTGGGTGTGGTGGCACAGGCCTGTAATGCCAGTGACTGGGGAGGCTGAGGCAGGAGGATCACAAGTTCAAGGCCAGCCCTGGCAACTTAGTGAGCCCCTGCTTCAAAAAAGGGGGTGGGGCTGGGGACTTTGCTGTGTGTTCGGCCCCAGATTCAGTCCCCTGGACTAAAACAAAGCAAAACCAGAAAACAAAGTTTTGGTTCTCGAGGAATAAGAAACTAAACATTTTCTCTCATATCTACAGCAAAAGGAAACTTGGCGCCTTGGAGGAAGCTCTTCCCCTCCTATTTGTGCAGCCAAATCGAGAGCCGATTCCTGGATGTCGCACTGGGGAGAAGGGTGCAGGCCCTGGGCCACCTGCTCAGCTCCAGAGCTCGGGCTGGGCGCCCCGCTGGCCTCATCTAAGGTTGTTAGCGTTGGGCAAGTCCTTGCATCTCTGTCCCTCCCCTTCCCTGTGAGGACGGTGCTTGCCTTTCTCTTCACAAGGAGGCGCGATGGTGTGGGCTTGTCTGGAAAGTGCTCTTTGATTCTTGGCTGAGAGGTGATGAGTAAATGCTCTTACCATAATGACGGGAGGGTGGAGGAGAAACCCAGCTCCTGGGAACACATCCGTGGGGACAGATGTCCCGAAAAGTGAGTGGTTCACGTCCTCGCCCTTTTTTTTTTTATTGTCCATGGACCTTATTATTTATTTCGATGCGGTGCTGAGAACCGAACCCAGGCCCCACACATGCCAGGCAGGAGCTGTACCCCTGAGCGCCAGCCCCTACGTCCTAGCCTCTTGATTTTCATAAAAAGCGTTGTTTCTAAAATTCTATTTAAATTGAAATAACCTGAAGCCAGATGTGGTGGCGAAAGCCTGTACTCTTAGCTACTTGGGAGGCTAAAGCAGGAGGATCACTAGTTTGAGGGCAGCCTCAGCACCTTAGAGACCCTGTCTCTAAATAAAATACAAAAATGGGCTGAGGATGTGGCTCAGTGGTTAAGCACCTCTGGGTTCAGTCCCAGTATAAAGATTAAAAAAAAAATGGCCTGATATCAGGAAAGTGCCTAGAAATCATTGCTTTGAAAAGTAATATGGATTCAAGAGGCCACACCAACTGTATAACTATCTTTTCCTTTAAAAAAAAAAAATCACAAAACAGACTCCTAAACACTAAAATACTGAGTTTTGCTGTATACCTGAGTTTACTGAAGAGATCATATTTCAATCTGTCCCTAAGGGTCATAGTTCTTTTTGGCTATTTTTACCACTTTTTTAAAAAAGTCCTACTGAAGTCACATTATTTCTCCCCTCAAAAAGCTGGATATTTGCCACGTGAGATAATACTATGTGTCAACTTAGTTTGGGATTGATTTTTTTCTTAGCAAAGATAGCTAAGACATTTTAAAATATTTATATTTGAAGATACACATGGAAATTCCTGGTGGAGCCTTTGACAGTGTTAAAGGCATTTGGATTTCATGAGTGTAGATGTGCATGCAGATTTATCTGTATGGGCGGGGGCGGGGGTATAGCTCAGTGGTAGAGCGCCCCTGGGTTCAATCCCCAGTACCAAAAAAAATAAATAAATAAAACAAATGAATAATGAAAATAACTTCCTGATAAGACAGAAAAACAATCAATCTGCTTGGGACTTATTTTACCCCTTCCTGTGTGTTTTTTGAGCATCTACTAAGTACCAACATATGGTTCCTATTTTTTTTTTTAGAATCTTTCTGTGCTGCCCAGCTGGCCTTGAACTTCTGGACTCAAGCAGTCCTTCCACCCCAGCCTCCCAAGTAGCTGGGACCCAGCTGCAGGCCGCCATGTCTTGCCAAGACCAGGTTCTTCCCTGGGGTAGTTTGTAGCCTGTAGATGCTGAGACAGACAGAAGCCACAGTGCCGCATGGTGGGGACAGTGGAGGGTAGCTGTGGAATTGTGTGCCCAGGAGCGAAGCCCAGCTGCAAGGAGCAGCACCAAGCCCAGTTCTGAAGGTCAGGTGGAGGTGAGAGGCCAGTGGGCGTCCAGGCAGAGGGGTGGTCCAGCCGCGATCCGGAGGCCCCTGGGTGTGGGAGGCCATGAGCTCTCGGGTGAGCAGGGCATGTGGCGGGAGCCTGGGAATGCAGACTGGCCGAGAACCACGGAAGGACGTGGCTTTACCTTGACAGCCCGCGAGAGACCCTCGGCCTGGGGAAGGCAGGCTCCGCTGGGCCAGTATTTCAGTCTCATTCCTTTTTCAGGTATTTTTTTGGTTTTTTTACCAGCTGAACATAAAACTCAAACCTCCATCGCTTCTTCCTCCCCAGTTTCTCCTTCGCTGGCGTAGTCTGGAGAAGGCTGTCAGCTTTTGAACCTCAGCTCAACAAGATTTTGTGGTTGGAATGTAGCATGCCTGGAAGTGACTCACATAACCAAACTCTCAAGACTGATGAACAAACCTAAATGCACTGGGGTCAGGTGGTAGGGAGCACTGGTGATCAAATCCAGGGTCTCATCCCCAGCCCCAGAAAGCAAAACTTCAACGTCCAGTGAGGGGTACTAAGGAGCCTGGATATTCGTATTTGTTGATATGAACATTCTCTTCCCAGAGGCTGATCTCTGTGGCAAGCTAAGTTCTGCACCTCGGTTCTTGGAGAGCATAAAATCAGAATAGAACTGGGTGAAGATAATGGCTGGTGACAGCAAGCTCTGGGAGCCGGAGGCACTTGTCTCCTCTGGAGGGATGGATCTACATTAAGGCTGGAGTGGAGCCTTTTACTGATACTGTGTGGATGGTTGTTTTAACCCATTCTGTTCTTTAGGCAGAGGGCACCATAATTAGTTATGTGTAGATCTTTTTTATTTTAATCTCTGTTCAAAATTGCATCTCAAAGATGGCACCAAGATTGGATGTTGGGTATTTATCTCATCACTTTCCAAATTGGCAAGACTGAGAATCAGTCATTTTATGATCTATTTACATGTTTTCAAGAATCTACACTTTGAGAAGCTCCCCTGCGGTTCTGATATGGATTAGGTAGTGCCATTTGGTTTCTCATGCATCCTTAATCTTTGCCTTTTTTTCTTTTTTAATACTGGGATTGAATCTGGGACGCTTAACCACTGAGCCACATCCCCAGCCCTTTTTATGTTTTGTTTTGAGACAGGGTAGGTCTCACTAAATTGCTCAGAGTCTAAGTGCTGAGGCTGGCTTTGAACTTGCAGTCCTCCTGAGCCACTGGGATTACAGATGTGCACCTCCACAGCTGCCTGCTTATTTTATTCTTTACAATGAATTCAACATCTAGCAGCATCCTGGGGCTGCTTCTCTCCTCAGCCAGCCGCTTCCACGCCGTTTTCAGGCCCCCCTTCCTTCTGGCTTTGTGGTTCACTTGGTTCTAATAAGTCATCATTTCTTAAATCAAATAGTATTGCTGACCACCTACTACGTGGTAGGCATCATTCTGAGCCAAGAAAAAGGGCAGCGCGTATCAGATACTCCTGGGTACCAGCGTGGGGACCTGCGGTAAAGGGGCAGGAAACCCAGGGCGTAGCGGACGTGTGCAGATCTGGTTATCCAGCAGACGCTTAAATATGCGCATCTGGAGTTTAGGGAGGAGACCTAGGCTGAAGACATAAATATGGATAATCTGAAAGCTAGAATTTAGAGGGTAAAATTCCAAGCTCTTGGCATAGCTAGAGTCCTCCGAGCACCGTTGTTTAACTCTGGACTTCAGGACACCTGTCATTGCCCTCCTGACGGTGGCCGTGCCCTCTGGTTGCTGAAGTGTTCACCTTACTAAGAACCATTGTGTGAAACTTGTTTTGGGGGTAGACTGTAGGGTTGATTTTGCAAATCCTCTTATAAGAGCATAACAGCGGAACTTGAGGCTTCCAGGTGCTTAAAGGTAAAATTATTCTTCCCGGTCAGAAATGCGCAAAGCAGCAATCAATGGCCGCTGGCGGGCAACCAGTCTTTGGTAGCCATCAGAGTTAATGCCACCCATGGTTCACTTTAATAGGTTTTTACAGACAGTCTCATAGAATAGACTGCTCCATTGAAAACTGCCCATATGCTTATTCTGACCTATGGAGATGCATAGAGAAGCTCAGAACTCATCAATCCGCACCTTGTTGGCTAAGACTTCCTGTCGTAACACATATTGTGTAATTTTCCTCCTATCTTCTCAGAGACGGTCTAAAACGGGTACTGCCAGGTCACCAATGAATCAGATTGGGGGGACTCTCCTTCACTACGCGTCCTTCTGTTCTGCAAGGTGTCCGCCATACCCCCATCCTCATGCCATTCACAACGTGACTTTGACACTCCTCTGTGACGGTCTTGACCAGTGAGACTGGTGAAGCGCTACCATGTGGTTTCTGAGGCAGAACTAGAACATACCACACACTCTTGCCCCGTTCTTCCGGGGTGTCTACTTTTCCAACCCAGCGCCATGTTGTTAAGAAGTCCAGTTGGCCCTGCTGGAGAGACCCCAGGAGAAGCCAGTTGCAGAGGTTCCTGTTGACAGGCAAACAGCAGTTGTCACCAGCCACCAGCCAGAGTCCCAGCTACGGCCCAAGCCATGTGTTCCTATCCAAATTCCTGACCCACAATAAAATGGTTCTTTCCCACTAAGTTTTGGGGGTGATTTATTGTACAATAATAGTAATTGGAACAGTATCCTTGGATGTTGTAATAGATGGTAGTAAGAGTACCCCCCCCTTTTGGGAGGGACACTTGGGATTAAATTCAGTGGGACTTTACATTGGAGCTATACCCCCAGCTCTTATTGTGTGTGTGTGTGTGTGTGTGTGTGTGTGTAGGCTAAGCACATACTCCACCATAGACCTGCACCCCTGAACCCCCTCATGTATTAAAGGACAGGGCGACTATGTGTCTCTTTATTCCAGTTTAAAGATAAAATGAGATCATTTTCTCTTTGAAGAAATCCCCTAGAATATGGAATTGAAAAGTTGAGAAACATTTAAGAAATTTCAATCTTATTTTCTCTGAAGATGACAGAGTAGGAAAGTAAGATGTTCTGACATGAAGACATTAAGACGAATTAGAGGCTGTGGGCGCAGGGTATGCGCCTGTAGCGCTTATAATCCCAGAGGCTCAGGAGGCTGAGGCAGGAGGATCCCAAATTCAAGGCCAGCCTCAGCAACTTAGTGAGTTGTCTTTATCAAAATAAGAAGGACTGAAGATGTAGCTCAGTGGGAAAGAGCCCTTGGGCTCAATTCCCAGTACAGAAAAAGAAAGAAAGAAAGAAACTCAATGAGCACTTCCTTGTTTCTGGTATAATAGAAGAGATCAAGGAATTGGGTACAAACCAGGCCACAGGAAGAACACTGAGTCCCTTCAACTGTGTTCTTAGGTTATCTGAGTCCTGTTTCTGCTTCATCCCATGAGGACTGGTTCATAGGAGAATGCGTCAGTGTCGATTATAGCCCAGTAACTAGTTCTAAAGCTAGAATCTCCATGTAGAATTTTATGTATAGTTCCCACACTAGCTCACAGAAATGTTAATAATGTTAATAGGAGGCTTGTAAAGGGTTCAGTGGTTTAAAAGTGGCACATAAATAGAATCATTAGGGCCACTGCTTGAGTCCTCAGGCTCTCCACTAGATTGAATGTCCTGGGTGTGACTCTATAGGCAAAAATACCAAGGAGTGTTTTGCTGATCAAAAACTTTTTTGGCTGAGAAACTTGAAAGGTTTACTCTTCAATTCATTTTGTCACTTTGGTAGTTTGGCAAGTAAGTAAAGTAGGTAAATAATACCGCAGGCAGGTACTCCGTTCGATAAAAGTACTCTAGCTCAGAGGCTTTAGAGGCTGAGGCGGGAGGATCAAGTTCAAAGCCAGCCTCAGCAACTCAGTGAGTCCCTAAGCAACTCAGTGAGACCCTGAGCAGCTCAGTGAGACCCCGTCTCTAAATAAAATACAAAGCAGGGCTGGGATGTGGCTCAGTGTGCGAGTGCCCCCGTGTTCAATCCTCAGTACCAAAAAAGCCCCCCGGTTCCTGGTGGAGAGGGAAGCAGGACGGGCCTCCTTTCCTCACCTTCTGGATTTCCTTGGATGAAAAAATTGTTCAAGAAAGTGGAATGAACAGTCATTAGACAAAACCCTAGAGAGATGTTTGAAGCCGTGGGGTGGGATGAAGACTTCCCGGTCATTCCACGCAGACCCATGAATTCTCTTTGATTATCAAAGGAAGATTGAGAACGTGTCAGCTGGACAAGCAGGCAAGGGCGTCCTCATTAGCTGTGCTCTGGGTCTCACAGTGCGTGCTAGTCTATAAAAAGAGCTGTCTATTTAAAAATAAATGTTTGTTTGATGAATGAACCCCACCTAGCTCACATGCTTGTCGTGAGGGGGCTGGCTGTTAAGCTATTGCAGATGTAAGCTGAACTAAAGATGATAGGTATTATCCTAGCAGTTGGGAGGCTGAGGCAGGAGGATCTTGAGTTCAAAGTCAGCCTTGGCAAAAATGAGGTGCTAAGCAACTAATGAGACCCTGTCTCTAAATAAATTACAGAAAGAATAGGGCTGGGGATATGACTCAGAGGTCAAGTGCCCCTGAGTTCAATCTCTGGTTACCCCCCACCCAGAAAAAAAATTCTATGTATTGTAAGTCCCAGCTCCCCCGGAGGATCACCTGAGCCCAACAGGGGTGCATGCCTGTAACCCCAGAGATGCAGAAGGCTGAGGCAGGGGAATTGCAAGTTCGAGACCAGCCTCAGCTGCCATCAGCTTAGTGAGACCTGAATCAAAAAATAAAAAGGGCTAGGGATAGAGCTCAGTAGTCAAGCCCTCTGTGGGTTCAATTCCTGGTACTGGGGAAAAAAAACAACCAACCAACAAAAACCAAATATCCTCTGTATCCTGACTCTCCCCTTGGCGGAGACCAGAGCAGCTGGAGAGGAGAGAAAAGTCCCATTTACATACTGTGTGCTGAGCCGCCTTGACTTGTGGTCCGTCTGAGGACCAGGGTCAGGCACTCAGGAGGCACAAGTGAAGAAAGAGAGACACCTACCACGGAGTGCAGGGGCTGAGAACCAGGCAAGGACCCTTATTGAAGCATGGTGTCTTTTTGTTGTTTTTGTTGGACTGAACCCAACAAGGGAGCTACATCCCAAGCCCTTTTTACTTTTTATTTTGAGGCAGGGTCTCCCTCAATTGCTGAAGCTGGCCTTGAACTTGCAGTCCTCCTGCTGCAGCCTCCCCAGTCACTGGGATTACAGGTGTGCACCACCACACCCAGCTGTTTAGTTTGTTTGATGCTGTGCCACCAGCTTCTTGTACATAGTAGATGCTCGATAAATGTGGCTTTTGGCAAGGTTGAAATGGCCTTGATTTTTGCCCTTCGTCAACACATAGTTTAGGCTCTTAATTAACAACTGCCACTTGCAAACATAGATTTTTAAAATGTGCCTGTGGGAGCCAGTTTTAAAAAAAGTGGTATTAAAGACTGAGATCCTTTTTCTTTATTGTCATGAAGTGAAGTAATGAAAGACCGTCCGGGCCTCCGAAGAAGAGACACAGACGGCTAGCAAACATGAAAAGACGCTGAACGTTACCACTGGCGCATAGCCCTGTGGCTCTGATCACAAAAACGTAGGGAAACAACATGTGTCGGGGGTGCAGGGGGAGGAGGCGGACCCCCAGTCGTTGCTGGTGGGAATGCAGAATGGCTCAGCCGCTGGCAAAACCCACGGCAGCTCCCCAGAGGCTAGACAGCATCACACCATCTGATCCTGCCCTGCGGCTGGGAGGTAGAAACCCCGAAGGACTGAAAACCAGGTTCAAACAAATAACTTGTATAGGTTCGTTCACCAAAGCCAAAAGTCAGGCCAGGCACAGTGGCGCACCCTGTAATCCTGCAGTTTGGGAGGCCGAGGCAGGAGGATTGTGAGTTCAAAGCCAGCCTCAGCAACTTAGTGAGGCTCTAAGAAACTCAGCGAGATTCTGTCTCTAAATAAAATATAAAAAGGGACAGGGATGTGGCTCAGTGGTTAGGTGCCCTTGGGTTTAATCCCCAGTACCAAAAACAAAAAAAACTGCCAAGAAATGGGAAAACCCAAGCATCCAGGGACAGCTCAGTGGATGAAGGAAACGTGGTCCGTCTGTACAGTGGGATGGTGTTAGGCCAAGAGAAGCCACGAAGCCCTGATTGCACTGCAACCTGGAGGAACCTTAAAAATGTTACACAAATTGAAAGCCAAACACATTACAGATTGTATTTACATAAAGTAAAGTAAGAGAGACAGAAATCAAGTTGGTATTGGCCAAAGGCGAGGGCCGGGAGGGTGGGTCCTTGCCTGGTTCGCAGCCCTCATGAAGCCTGTAGGGTGCTTAGTGACACAGATGTAACTTTGCGTTGATGAGGTGTTTAGAGGTAGACAGAGGTCCTGGGCACGCAACACTGAAGGAACTGAATGCCTCAAACTCTTCTCTTTTAAATGGTTAATTTTATGTTATTTGAGTCCTTCTCAAAAAAAAAAAAAAATAGATCAGTGCTGCGCATCTTTGTTATCTCTTCATAAAACAGTCGATCTTTAATCTTCAGAAAAGTTCTTTAAAATTTCTCCCGCGGCCTGAGAGGATGGCTGTGTTGTGTTTCTGGAAGTTTCTGTGAGGGCCATCTGAGTGCTCCTGCTGCCAAGCCAGTCTGAGGGCATTAGGGGCTACTTGTGGCACTGGACAGAACTCAAAGGATTCATTAGGAATTGTTCTCCCTGAAAATGAATTGCCACCCCATCAATTGTCAAGCTAGCCACCAAAACTAGCACTTAGAGGCGTTTTGTCTTCTCCTTACACGAGGAGACCTGAGCTAAGGTAGCAGAAGGTGGTGTTTACGACGTGTGCCAAGGTGACATTTTTATACCTTACTGTAATCACACCTTGTGGCTCAAGACAACCGTAAACCCAGGTGGTTAGATTGGCTATAAACGCCTTTCAGTTTGCCTGTGTTGTGATTCACTTCCACTAACATGTAAATGCAAGGCCCTGACCCAGGTGGGGGGGAGGGGGACACATAGGAAACAGCTTGCCAGTCGTCCTTAAGTTTAATGGGAATGAGATTTCTAGAAATTGTATAGCAAATTTCATTACATAAAACCCACCTGTTCTGAATGACTAGTTGCCTTTATCAGAAGGACTTTGAGAAGATAACCAGCCGCTTGACATTATTTGGGAGACACTTGCTTTTCTGTTTTCCCAGTGCTGGGGATCAAACCCTGGGCCTTCCACGGGCTAAGCCTCAGCACCTGTGGTTTTGTTTTCTCTTGGTTTGGTTTGGTTGTTCTCTGCAAGGGTGGGATCTCTGTGTACCTGAGTGATAGTGATTGAATCAGTGGCGGTCACAGGGTGTGGCACTGACCCACAGCCCCCAGGGCCAGCCTGAGCCCTATTCTGAGCTGCCCGACACTTGAAGAAATGGCAGCTTTTCAAAGTCCTTGAGAGTTGGGCTCGGCTGGGCATTGAGAGCCAGTCCAAGGACCTTCAGGCTGGAAGGGATGGCTCCCTGCTGAGGGGCCAGCAGTGCCTTCTCCACCGACTGGAAACTCTGCTGTTCCTAAGGCCTTTTAGTTTAGTTGTTGCAGAAATAATTTTCAAGTTGCAGTCTTGCTCTTCTCAAATAGGCAAGACTTAGTGAACCAAAAAGGAAAAATGCCCAACAGGAGAAGAGTTAGCAGGCAACCCCAGAGGACTGGCCGCGTGGGAGGGGCGGGCTGTGGGCATGGTTGAGATGAAAATGAGCGGCCCGTAATTTCCCTCTTAGTATTCGAACTGAGAAATGTGATTAAAACATCGCTCTGTTGCCCAAAAGGCAGTCAGCAGGATAGCCTCCAAGGGAGATGGAGCACTTGGTCTCCACCCTGTGGCCTTTGGTTTTGTTTTAAATCTAGCGAGGCCCAGCGTCTGCGTAGGTGGACGGCATTGTGCTGGGCAGTCTCGAGGTTCCTGCGCTCCGCGGGCCCTCCCTGCGCCGACCAGAGCAGAGGCGTGTTGCTCAGGTCTCCCGGTTAATGATCACCGACTGGGAACTGGGCCGGTTGGGGCTCCAGAGGGACAGTCATGGTGCTGTGTCTTGCAACTTAAGTTACTGATTTGTAAAATGTCAGAGCAAATTACAAAATTGATCTTCTGAAATGTCTTCTTGAGCCACTCCGTGGGTGTAGCTTTTATCCAAGGTCACTATTAAATCCACACTTTGTGGGTGTGTGTGTGTGTGTGGTGCTGGGGATTGAGCCTAGGGCCTTGTGCAGCCAAGGCAAGCACCCTACCAACTGAGCTATGTCCCCAGCCCTCCATCAATGCTTTTTATGAAATCAGTGCCATCGATGCTAGTTTAATCCAGAAAGTCAACTTGGCTGGTTTATGTCAGCTTTTATTCTGGGGGAAAATATAATGATTTGATCAACTCATTTGCTTATTTCTTGACTATTTCTAAAGAGTAAAAGATGATTTTTGTTTGCTTGAAATAAAGTCCCCACTTCAAAATATCAGGAGTCAGTCCCCCCCCACCCCCACCCCCAGAGTTTGTAGAAATTCTTTTGGAAAGATTTGGCTCAGCTGCATTATTGTTTCCTAAGTGGTGAGTCGCAGGGTGGACTTGTGGGCTGTGCCCGCTGCATTTCAAGCAGACTGGGGCTTTTGTAGTGTCCCCGGCAGCTCCAACACAGTCTGATTGTGAAGACAGACTTGAGTCAAAAAACCACCAGGTAAATATGGAGATATATCCTAATCAATGCCACAAGAGTACATAATATGATGTGACAATGTACAGGGGAGGTGACGGAGGCAAGGCTTCCCTGGAGAAGAGAGCATTGTTCTGCTAGTTTCCCTATCTTTACGGATCCTGCCTGCAAAAAGAAAATCACACGGCAAGCCTAGGACTCGCCACACATTAGATATTCATGATTTTGGGCAGGATTGGGAATCAAACCCAGGGTCTTGGGCATGCTAGGCAAGTGCCCCACCCCTGAGCTAAATCCCCAGACCAGGATTTGTTTTTTAAAAGTGAAATATCTGTGAAGACCTCCTACGAGGATGTTTGTAGCGACTTTATCATAATTGCCGCCACTCGGAAACAAGAAGCCTTTGGGAAGGCAAATGGCCTCACCACCGGGCGGTTCACTTACGCAGTATTGTCCAGCACCAGGGTGGAGGGGCTTCGGGCTCTGGAGGGCGGGAAGAAGTGTCCGTGCCGCTGCGAGGTAGAGAGCCAGGCTGGCCTGGTGAGTGAGTCCAGCTCCACAGCATCCTGAAGAGTGGACACAACAGGGACAGGAAAGAGACTGGCCGTTGCGGCTGGGCAGGGGCGGGGGGGGGTGGGTGCACAGGGCATTTTTAGGGCAATAAAATACTTCTGTATGACACTAAAACCATGGGTAAGTTATATCATCCATTTGGCCAAATTCAGACCTGAGCAACACAAGTGAACCCTGATGTGACCTGTGGCCCTGAGTTCATGACCACGTATGAGTCCTGGATTGTCAGTTGCCCCTGCGCCACCCCCCACTCAAGATGTGAATGAATGGTGGCCCCAGCTGATGGGCAACGTGGGGACTCTGCACTTTCTGCTTGCATTGTCTGTGAGCCTAAAACTACTTTTAAAAAATGAAGTCTATTATTAAAATTTAAAAATAAGTCAGTGAAGTGAATAAGGCCTTTAAGCATAAAGATCTTGGATATCCTTGTATGAGTTGCAAGGTTAGCTACTGTAGAATCAAATAACTGTCGATAGGCTTTTTATTTTTCATGCTGGGACTGAACCCAGGGGGGCTTTACCACTGAGCTATATCCCCAACCCTTTTAAATTTTTTATTTATTTTTATTTTATTATTTTGTTGAGCCAGGGCCGCCTCACTAAGTTGCTGAGGCTGGCCTCGAATTTGATTTAGAAACTAAGTTTCCCAGACAGGCCTTGGCCTAGAACTTGCAATCCCCCTGCCTCAGCCTACAGAGCTGCGACTGTAGCTGTGACTACAGGTGCACATCACTATGGTGAATATTTCTTATTTTTTTTTTTTTAGAGAGAGAGAGAATTTTTTTTAATATTTTTTTTTCTTAGTTTTCGGCGGACACAACATCTTTGTTTGTATGTGGTGCTGAGGATCGAACCTGGGCCGCACGCATGCCAGGCGAGCACGCTACCGCTTGAGCCACATCCCCAGCCCCTGGTGAATATTTTTTAGAAGAAGATAAAGCAAAGTTATATTTTCAGAAACATGAAAAAATTCATTTCAGCTGTGCTTGGTGGCCCACGCCTGTAAATTTCAATAACTTGGAAGACTGAGGCAGGAGGATCACAAGTTCTAGGCCAGCCTGGGCAATTTAGTGAGACCCTGTCCCAAGAAAAAAGTAGTAGAGCACTTGCCTAGCATGTCCAAGGCCCTGGGTTAAATCTCCATTACACAAAAATAAATCAATAATTTCATAATAACATATTACAATAAAGAAGCTGTAGTCTACTCACTTGGTTGGACTATATTTCTACTTATTTTAGTAATAAGTAAACATTTTCAAGCAGAATTTTATGTTGGAGGTGCTTTGGATTTCTGAGAACAAAGTTATTAGCTATCTGATTCAATTTTTTTTTTTACTAAATATTTTTAGTTGTAGTTGTGCATAATACCTGTATTTTATTTATTTATTTTTATGTGGTGCTAAGGATCAAACCCAGCGCCTCACATGTGCCAGCCAAGCGCTCTACCGCTGAACCACAGCCCCAGCCTAAATCTTTCTTGAAGCAAAACTTGAGTTTTACAATTGTTTTGATTGCTGTTAATAGTACCATTTACTGTGATGATTATAAGGGACCCTCTTCTATTGTTGGAATTTGTTTCCTTTACCTGGAATAAATATAGGTTTGAAATAACACAAATTTGCACTTCATAGAGGACGTGGAAAAATATAATAATTTCCTTTCGATATTTTGTAAGTTAACGACTACCGTAGATGCGAGACATTTTACATTTCAAGTTTTACATGAGACTTGACGGCATCTGGTAATGAGACTCCTGTCCTTAGGGTTGGGTCCCTCCTCTCCATATTAGAATTCCAAACGCATCACACCTGTTCAACCTGTAATGATTAGTAGTAGGTTTTCTTCTTTGGTGACCACCAAAAAATACCACCACCATCCACCCAACAAAACAAAGCCAACCCGATGAGCCTTCCCTGCTAGCAGCTCCTTCTGCACGCGCTCTCCGGCCGTGCTTCTGTGCCACGGAGGCTGAGACGGTGGACTTCAGGACAAGCTGTTCTCATGTTCCAGTTCTGCCCCTTGCATCTTGCCCGGGGGCCTGGTGTCCAAAACTGGACACAGTTCTGACCCTGCCGTGGGCGGGTTATGGAGGCAGAAAGGTACCTGGTTGTTGAGAACTTAGTACAACGTGGGCAACAACAGAGGAAGCCAGGAGCAGGGCCCTCTGGTCAGACAGTCTAAAGATGAAGGCCTGGAGCTCTGGGTTCAAGTCTCACCTCTTTTTCAGTTAATAGCTATGTGACACCCGGTGAGTCCTTGGCCTTTCTATGTCTCATTTTACCCTCACAAATAAGGGGATATTAACCGTGTCTGCCTCACAGGGTACTGGGAGCAGAGCCTCTAGAAGGGGTAGCTGTTATGATCTGCCATGAATTGGGTAGTCTACAGTTAAGAGAATGGGAGCCCGGGGGACATTGTTTCAAACGATCTCACCAAATCTGTTTTCCCACTGTGCTGGGGATTGAACCCAGGGATGCTCCACCACTAAGCTATACTCCCGACCCTTCTTATGTTTTATTTTGAGACTTGCTAAGTCATTGAAGCTGGCCTCTAACTTGTGATCCTCCTGCCTCAGCCTCCCGAGTAGCTGGAATTACAGGTATGCACCACTGCATCAACTGCCAAATCTTGCCTTGTATTTGTGAAATAGGAAAAAGACTGACCCAGATTCATATCGAGAGCAAAATAAGATATATTCGAATTAGACCATTAACAAGCCTTCCGAACGCTGTCAGCACTTCCATGGAGCAAGGAGATCATCTGAGTTGCAGCCTCTGTGGGGCCAGCAGAATGCCTTGCACTTGCACAATGCTGAGGAACTCCTGAAACATGGGCACTTTCTTCTCGATTGGAGGTTTCTGTGGTCCTGTCAAAAATCCCTGGACGTGGGGAATTAGTTCCTCGACTCAGGCTCCAGCCGTGACCACTGTGGCATTCCTACTGGCTCCAGCCGTGAGCCGAGGCTCCTGTGGAGACGTCTCACTGTTTGTGGCCCTGGTGGGTGTGAATCATCGGCCTGTGTTTTGATGATGCCACGAGGTTTACTATGTCGGCAATACTGTGACTACCGACTTGGTGCCAGGCGTCTAGTTTTGATTTTTCCCGGGGCGGGGGCTGGAACCAGGGCCCTGTGCCTGCCGGGCAGGTGCTGTGCCACCGAGCTCCACGCCCAGCCCCTCGCCGCCAGTTCTAAGCACTTCACATGTATGAACGCATTTTATGTCCTAAACAACTCTAGCATTTGGTACTGTTGGTTTTTTTTTTTTTTCCATTACCTTATTTTTGCTTTCCATATCTCCCATGAGAGCCCATCTCTCTTGCAAAACCCAGCAGAGCCTTAATTAGAAGAGTCTGGAAATGTGGTTCATAGTCTTCAGCCCTTAAGACCAAGTGGAACTCAGGAGGGCCGGGCTGCGGGCCAAGTCAACAAACCAGTGCAGATTTAGTGTCGCAGAGCATTTCAGGTGGCTTCCTGTGTGCTCCACGTTCCTTTCAATGGCCTTGTGTGGTCGGGCCATCTTCCTGGTCTCTCCTAATACTCTTACTTTGGGCGTGTGTGTTTGATGCTGGGGATTGAACCCAGAGCCTCAGGCACTAAGCAAACTCTCTACCACTGAGCCACATCCCCAGCCTGTTTTATTTTTAAATTTTTAGATGAGAGCCCCCCAAGTGGCTGAGGGCTGGCCTTGAACTTTTGATCCTCCTGCCTCAGCCTCCTGAGTAGCTGAGATTACAGGCACACACCGTCACACCCGTCTTCTTCTTTCCTTTTTAAAAACTGTGGTAAAATATAGATAACACATAACTTGCCAGTTTTATCTTTTATTCCCCGAATTGCTGGACCTCAAACCCAGGGTCTATCTCATGCATCCTAAACACGTGCTCTACCACAAATGTACACTTCCAGCACCAGAACCATCTTCACGTGTACAGAGCAGTGGCACTAAATACAGAGGGACTTCCCGCCACCAGTTAGGTGGGAACAGTGAGCCTGGGACACAGGCAGTGTGACTTCAGGGTGTCAGCTGCAGGACCTACAGAGCTCGCCCAGCCCCACAGTGGGACTAGCAGTGTGTCCTCTTAGTTTACCTGTTTGGGTTCATTTTTAAAACAGAGTATTCCTGTGTTGGTTACATCAGCATGTGCAGAAAGAGGCGCTTTCAGCATTGAGGTAAGATGAAATCAGAAATGATTTACAACTACTGGAAAATAAAGCCGAGCCTGGTGAGCTGTCTTTGAACTCTCTGTTAATGTTTAAAACCTGAAGAGCTTTCGGTCAGGAAGCAGAGGAGGCCGCCCATGTATAAGTGATGAGAGGAACCCACTAGGGCTGGGATTGCAGGCTCATGAGCAGCTAGGGAAGGCAGCCACGAGCTAGAGATCTTCTGGAGACTTCTCTGCTCTGGGACTTGGACGGCTTCTACTTCATGGTGACTGAAGATTAGGAAGCAGATCACCATCTTCTGTATGGAGAGCGCTCTCCATCTTGCATTTTAACAGCTCCCTGAGAGCCGGCGGCTGCTGTCTCAGAGTTGCACCCAGCTCCCTGGCACACGCGGCCCCTGGCACACGCTGCCCCAAGCCCGGACCGTGGACCACGTATGTGAACCACACTGACACTGGCCCCGGGCCACACAGTCACCAGTGAGATGCTCCATCGACCTGCTCATCATCCAGCAAGTGTATACCAAGGACACCTGGCAGCGCCAGCTTCCCTGGCCCACAGGATGCAGCGACTTAGGCCTGGTGAAGGAGGCAGCCATGTTAGGAGCACGTGGCTCTTAGGTACCCAGAAGTTGGTACCCAGGGAGAGAATCCTTCCATGTTCAGTGACACGACAATAGAGACGTTTTTCCTTTTAGTAAAAACATCAAACTTGAATAAACTGGCAACATTTGTGCTATTTTATCAGGAATTATTGTCTAGACAGAAATGGTGGTAAAGTAAGGGTAGATGTTATTTCCATAATAGATTTGGGTTTTTTTGAGGGGGTTACTGGGGATTGAGCCCAAGGGTGCTCTACCGCTGAGCCATATCCCTAGCTCTTTATATTTATCTTGAGACAGGGCCCCGATAAATTGTCCAGGCTGGCCTCGAACTCGTGATCCTCCTGCCTCAGCCTCCAGAGAAGCTGGGATGACAGGCCACTGTGCTCGGCACACAGTAGACCTTTCTTTATATCATTTCCTTGGGTGTCTTTAAAGTGATAAGTCATGACTTGGGTTAATATTGTGCTAAATTAATAATCACACAAAGTGGTTTGCTTTTGTTTTGTTTGTCCTCGAGCATGCCGGGCAAGGACTCTATATCCCCAGCCCTGCAAAAAATGCTTGTTGAAGAACACCTGGACCGCACAGAGAAGGACAAGACGAGATAGGGACCCTCACAGTCCTAGCCCTCTAGGGTCACCAAACATCGATTTGTCTGTGTGTCAAAAGTTGCTTTTCTAAATCTTTTCACAGAATACAGAGAACCAAAGGCTTATAAACAACGGGCCTTTGTTTCTCCGGCAGGTTTGGTGTCTGGTGAGGGACACTTGTTGGTCCGGGGAAGGGGGCTCAGGGGCCTTTACTGTGGGGGGCTAATGCCATTCAGGAGGCTCTACCCTCCTGACCCACTCATCTCCCCAAAGCCCACTCCAGATCCCACCCGCTGGGGTTAGGTTTGAACCTGCAACTTGGGGAGGATGTGAACATTCAGTCCTTAGCAGTCACACAGAAAAATTCAAAACTAGGAAGAACAGTTGCTCAAAATGTGGCCCAGCTAATTACCTTAACATGAAGAGATTATGCAAAACAGCGAGATTGGTTTCGAGAGGAAATTCCAAAGGCTGATGACCATATCTGAAAAAGGTTAATTTTATAAATGAGCAAAGAAATGCTCAACCGAGCAATTTTCACTGCAGATTAGTGCAGTGGCTTTTTTGGTGGGTAGTTTTCCCGTTTTGCAGACGGTGGTGTTCGGTGGTGGACCCGCCTTCTCTAGAAAAGACCTGGGCAGGAGGGGAGCTGGACACCCAGTGGGGAGGCCCCGGGGCCGCCGGCCTCGTGGGACAAGTCTTGATAACTGGTTGTTATAGGAATCAAGGGGCTATGAAATGTCCACATTTAGGGAGAACACTGTTGTTCTCATGGAAAAGCGAACAAATCCATTCTAAACTCATCTTAGATTTCTTTATAGCTTTGTACAATAAAGACCTACGAGTAGTACACCAACTCCATGAGAAGGCAGAATTTGTATCTTCTGTTTGCTGTGGGTCCTCAGTTCCTAGAGCAGTGCTAGCACACAGTAGGTGTTCAGTGAAATATTTAGTTGGATGAGTGGATGGGTGGTTGTTTAGGTCATAGAGTAGAAAAAGCACTTGTTGCTTATTGTGACTAACCTCCATGAGCATTTTGTTTGGTGCACACCAACTCAGGAGGCTGAGGCAGGAGGATTAAGGTTCGAGGCCAGCCTCAGTAACTTGACAAGACCCTGTCTCAAAATACAATATAAAAAGGGCCGGGATATGGCTCAGTGATAGAGCACCCCTGGGTTAATCCCCAGGGCTCCCCCCAACAACAACATAAGTGCCCCCCACCCCGGCCCAGTGTGAAATCTTTTCTGCAATCAATAATCAATCCATACTTGGGTACTAAGCAATGCCCATTTTCTGAATTAGGTTTTATATATATATATATATATATATATATATATATATATATATATATATATGGGGCAGAAAAGGAAGTACATCAATCAAGGAAAAAGTAGTAGTTCAATACTTCATGGGATGGATCATCCTATGGGTTGAAGTGTTTCCCTCATAGATGTTTTCTCTTTGTTTTTATCTCTGGTTGGCAGAGGCTCAGGTGACCTTAAGTGCCTCTTATCCTGAAGACCTTCCCATCAGCCCGTCCTAAGCCAACAATGAAATAATTATGGAGCCTTAAAAACAGTCTGCGAAAATGTGCCTGTGGATGGACGAGGACAGAAATAGCCACAGGCCCCCAGGCTGGAGACCTTCCCGAGGCTCCCCTCTGATCACAGCCCCCTGGGCTGGGGTGGAACTGGGGCCTCCCTGGCAAGTGCTCTCCCTGAGCCACGCCCCAGCCCCTCTTTTTTCAGCTCTAGTGAAATTTCAGGAAAAAAATGCACCGTTTTTCCCATTTGGGGGACGTGATGCCAACAGAATGGACGGGCATGGCGGCCTCCCGTCTTCTGCTGCCGGCCCCTGGTCCCACCAAGAGGCTGAGGAGCCGTGGATCACTTGCCCCGATGCTCAGGGCTGTCTCGGTTCCATCCCCAGCGCTGCCCTTCTTCTCTCTTGGGTGGCCTTTCTGTCCCTCCTGCTCGCAGGGTTGGAACCCGCCCACCCCCATGCTCCTGCGAGGCAGGTTCTGGCCCCCCGAGCTGCACCCCGAGCTCTGGTGTTCTGTTCTGAGATGGCGTCTTGCTAAGGTTCCCACACTGGCCTTGAACTCGCCATCCTGCTGCCTCGGCCTCCTGAGTCACTGGGATTACAGGCACGCGTCACCACACCTGGCAGGAATTTTTTTTATTTGCAATAGACGGACCGTGGGCTTGCATTAATACGGTCACACGGCTCCCCTCCCAGTGTTCACCCGATTAATGATTCTGAAGCCCAGCCTTTGTGTCTGCTTGTTCCTTCTTCCTGTAGAGCCTGCTCTCTCATCTTAATTCCCCTTCAGAGAATTTCAACAGGAAGACATTGGTCATTTTTGGAATGCAGAACTAGAGTAGATCATAGTTCATAATATTACGCTTGATAACCAGACCCCACGTGTATGTACACTGGGCCACTGGTTTATTTTAAGAACGCAACAGGCAGAAAGTCTATTTCCCCATTTTTCAGGTGAGAAAACTGAGGCTTCTGCCCAAGCCCAAAGGCCTTATGTTGCACCCTCTTCTTGGGAGTGTTGGGAAGATGGGATTCAGGGCTTCTGATGGGCTGGGCTATGGGGCTGGGGGAGAAAATGACCGTCAACGCGACCATGGTTTCATATTGTGAAACAACAAGAACACAGACAAAGAGATAACAAACCAACCCTTTCCAGAGTCATTGATCATTTCTCTAAACTTCACTAAATGATTTTAAAGCACAGCCTGGGGCTGGGGGCATAGCCCAGTGGGACAGGCCCTGGCTTCCACCCCCAACACCAAAAGTATTTTTTTAAGACATGATTATTTATTTTATCTTAAAAATGTTTATTTTTTAGGTTTAAGTGGACACGATATTTTTATTTTACATTTGTGTGGTGCTGAGGATTGAACCCAGGGCCTCACACGTGCTAGGCGAGCGCTCTACCGCTGAGCCACCACCCCTGACCCTCAAAAGTATTTTTTTAAATTAAAAGAAAAAAAATTTTTTTAAGTTCCAAAGAAGTCTTAGGAAAGCAGGTGGCCGGGCTGTCAAGCACTGCTCCACAGTCCTGTGGGGTCCTGGCTGTGACCTTGAGACATCTGTCCCCACCTGTCCCCTCCCACTGCTTTTCCCCTTTATCTGGACACAGGGCGCCTCCATTTCTTGGGCTTGAGCCCCCCCCCCACCTCGGTCCCCCTTTCCCTCTGTGTTGCTGGGTGGCTTTTACCTCCCGTCCTCCTCTGCATAGACTCACTTCCTCGGAAGGAACTTCTCCTAATCCCCGGTCTCGCTGGGGTCCAGCAAGTCTTTTATTTAAACCCTTGAAGCCTCGACTGCTGCCCAGGGTCTTGGGTCCTGGTCACTGCCCAGTAAGAATGGTGGAGACAGAGGTGTTCGGGTCACAACCGAGATCCACTGAAAAGTGGCTTGAACAACCAGGTGTCGTGCGTGTTTGGGGAGCCCAGGGGCCAGAGGGTTGGGTCGGTGTCACAGTGCAGTAATAACATCATGGAAAAGTTGGGTGCTTTCCATGCTCCGGCTCTGCCATCCCCAGCCCATGAGGATGCTTCCCCCTCAAGGTTGCAGGACGGTTCAGAAATTCCAAGCAGCACAGGCAGCCACGTCGAGTAAAGAAGAGCAGCTTAGCCAGGCAGGGCGGTGCACGTCTGTAATCCCAGCAACTCAGGAGGCTGAGGTGGGAGGATCACAAGTTGGAGGCCAGCCTCAGCAACTTAGCCAGGCCCTGTCTCAAAGTAAAAAAAATTATAAAAATGTAGCTCAGTGGTAGAGCACCCTTGGGTTCAATCCCTACTATCAACAAAAATGTAAAAATAAACAAACAAACAAAAGTCCCGGGAGACTTACTAGAGAGGAAAACCTCACCCTCAGTATTAGCCCAGTAAACATCCCCTGCCTCTGGTCAGCCAGGCTTTTGTCACGTGTCCATGTCCTCCCTGCAATAGAGATGGAAAAGTGACCTCGTAATCAGACAGGTGCTCTGTGTAGGGAGGACGGGTGGCCAATGGGTGTCTGCAGTGTCTGTCCCAAGGGATGTCTTCCAGAACCACCTGCACAGGCTCGTCTGACCGAGAGCTTTAGCCAGCGGGGGGACGCCCACGGGTACCTCGTTTTCTGCAAGTGCTGTCTTGGGCCCCCTTCAGTCTCCCTCTCTGCAGCCCCCCAGCCCACCACAGGGACACACATGGCTTCCTAGCAGTCCTCACCCCTTAGCTGTGGCAGCCGTCCCCGTGTGATCCTAGGTCCTTGGCGGAGATGGCCAACTGGGCCGTGGCATGGAGACTCTTCTGTCACCTGTCCTTGCTTGACTTACTCAAAACTGGAAGCTCAGGGCCCAGGGGAGAGCTTGTGGCAGAGCACCTCCATACCCGCCCCTGCCCTGCAGACAGACAAACAAGACGCCAGAACCTTAGAACCCCACCATTGGCGAGCGTTTGGTGGAAGTCCTTTTCCTCGGTGTCAACTAGGCTAAACATTTTTTGCCCTGAAGTATTCTGTCGTCCTTCCTCCCTCCACCTGGAAATATGATAGAGTTTAAAAGTAAGTCGGGACTTAAATCTGGCTTGGCCTTGGCCTTACCTTACCCTGCGCCCCGGCCTCTCCTCCAGCCTTCTGATTCCCTGGTATTTGACGTATTTGACGGGTTCCCCTTCTCTTTCTCCCTGGGATCATCTTGAACTTGTTTGGGGGGGCTGGGGGGGAGAACCTCCTGCAGCCAGCCCAGCAGGTGCTCAGCTCTCCAGGCTGTGGAGGGGGGGTGGCACTGGGCTGGCTCAGGAAAGAGACTGTCATGTTTGGATGGCCTCGCGGTCCAGCCTCCTCATGGGAACCAGGAAGTGAGCAAGTATACACCCCACTTCCAGGTCCGTGCCAGTCGCCAGGGGTGCTGGACGTTTGTGTTACAGATGTACATCTTACTTACAGTCACGACTTGATTAAGCCCTCTTGTGATCGGTTCCAGTGAAAGTTAGGTCTTTAAATTATTATAAAGAGCAAGATTTTGCTTTCTGTGCCCCGTTTCTTTTGTCAGACTCCATAGACAGCAACAACTGAGACTCATCTTTCTGAGACTAATTTTTATAGCCTCATCGTCCTTAATACGTTTCCTCTTCTATTTAAGACATTTGACAATGTCTTTCTGGAGGAGTGACCTTTTAAACAGACTAATAAAAACTGCCCTAATAGAAATCAGTTTGGAGCCAGGGATATGACTTGTTGGTAGAGAGCCTCGCAGGCAGGAAGCCCTGGGTCCCATCCCCAGTAAACTCCCCCCACCCATAGTTTTTTTTTTTTTTAATGAAAAAAGAAAAGAAAGTGCTCTTTAAAAAGTTGTGTGGGTTTGTTTGTTTGTTTGTTTGAAGCCAGGTGTGGTGATGCACCCTATAATCCCAGTTACTCAGGAGGCTGAGGCAGGAGGATCACAGGCCAGCCTCAGCAACTTAGCAAGACTGTCTCAAAATAAAAAATAAAGAGGGCTGGGAGTGTGGCTCAGTGGTAAACTGCCCTACATTTATAATGATAAAGAAATGACCTCCCCCTTCCTGCCCTGAAAAATCGTATTCCTTCCTATCTCTTTCGCCAGCGTGCAGCGGTTACAGCTGTTTGTTTTTGTTGTATCCAGAGGAACAGGTTGGGGACTGGAGGTTACTGAGGTATTCAGAGAACACTGAAATAGACGGCAGGTGTGTTGCTGCTTCTTAAAGCACAGTGTCCCACTGCGGCTCCTCGGCTCTCCCCGCTGGCACCCCGCCCCATCCAGCCCTGCGCTGCTGTTCAGGTCCCCGGCTCTGTCTCCGGGTGCAGCCCCTGCCTTCCTCCGGGCAGGCTCCTCCCTGCAAACTCCCTTCACTGTGCATCTAACCCCAGCCTCCTGTTCCCTCTCCACAGTATAATTATTGTTATAAAAATACAAAAATTCACTTCCATGCCCATCTGTCTCTACACATTCTTTCTGTTTGTTTCTGGTCTTGTTCTTCTGTTCCCACCACCGGAAAGAAGCTGGGACACAGAGTAACTCCTTCCTATTTTCCTTTCCACAGCAGAAACCTGGCTCGTGGCTACTTGTAACAAAGAAACCTAAATGCGAAACTTTTTACCACAGTCGTAGAGCTGCGTCGTGGCCGTCCCTTCCCAGCTAGAATCTGTCGCCTTAGCTTGAGTGTGGGCCACTGGAGGGGAGCGCGGATCCCCGCTGGGCAGCCAGAGACAGCCTTCTGTTTTCTTCCTTTGTTTTTTCCCTCTTTGCAGCGCTGGGGATCCATCCCAGGGCCTTGTGCATGCTAAGCAATTGCAAAAAACACTTAAATTTTTTTTTTAAACAGTTACTCTTCTGTTAATCTATGTCTTCTGCCATTTTCCCCTCAAAGGTGGAGGAAGCTAATGCCAGTCATGTCATCCAAGGGACCCCATTTAAATAGAGACATTTAAGGGGGAACCATGTGCTCAAGTCCTTGGGAAAGTGAATTTATCAGAGATCAGAGTATCCTAAAATAGAAGTACAGGTAGCACAGGCAGAGTGCAACCAGAAATGTGGAGGGGGTAATCCCTTCAGGGAGTGAGTAGCTGCTGGGGAGGATGTGCTTCTGGGGAAACTGACCTCGGAGTCACTGGTCCTTGACTCTGTGCTGCATATGCAGAGGTGACTTTAGCCTCAGAGCTCCTCTGCAGGTTGGCTCCTCCCAGGGATTTTGAATTAATGTTGGCTGAGTACACTTCACAATTATAGGAAGTACCGTATTAGTTTTGTTTTGTTTTTACGGGGCTGTGCATTGAACCCTGGGCCTCACCCTGGGTGTAAGCGAGTGCTCTACCCCTGAGCTACACCCTGAGAAAGAGATATTTTCAAAGTTGACCTGGAGCAGGGTGCAGTGGCGCACGCCTATAAACCAGGCACTTGGGAGGCTGAGGCAGGAGGATTGCAAGTTCAAGGCCAGCCCTGGTGACTTAGCCAGACCCTGTTCTTCCTGCCTAAAAAAGTTGACATATACTTTGAAGAAAAACTTCCTTGTGAATGACTTGGTCTCCACATCTCAAAAAGATATGACTTTTCTGAATGCAGTTTCCTTGTCAACTCTTTTGCATAATTTGAAAAAAAAAATCAAACCTAGTAATCAAGAGTCCTCATCATCTACTGACCCAGAGAGACCAACTTTAGTACTGCCTATGGGGCGTGAAGACAGAATTCATTTTCATTAAACTTCATGATTCTATAAGAATTCTAATTCTAATTCTAAACCAATGGTGTGATGTGCACCTTCTACGATTCGATCCTTAGTTTGTGAAGGAGCTTCACCCCGGCCCTGTACCTAAAGCCAGACTTGAAGTCATCTGAATCCAGCAGTTAACACAATTGCTGCTTCTTCCTGGGTCTTTTTTGCTTATCCAGCCTCTCCTAGCTGAACGCTCCTGGCACAGATCTTTGGTTGGTTTGAGTTGAAGAACAAGGTGACCTGGAGGTCAAGCATGAGGTCCAGAGAAGGCTTTAAAGAGGTTTTTGAAGGGCACCATCAGGTTGTTACCAGGAACTTGGAAACATTCATTTGCAGTCCTCCTGAGGATTTTAGGATTAATGGTTGAGAGTGGGCAGGCACGGTGTGTGTGTATAAATTAAGCATTCTGTTCCATTAGGTATTAGAGTGCTTAATCTTAGACTTTGGAAATGGGCAACTTTTAAGTAGAAGTTTTAAGAGTGTACGCCATATGGCAGTGGTTCTCAAAGTGTGGTCACTGGGCCTCTGGAGGCTCCTGAAGCCCTCTCAGGGAGTCCGCGGGTCAGAGCTGTTTTCGTGACCATCTGTCTTTTACACTTGGTTGACCCTTGCACTGAGGGCGCGGGAGCGAAGGTGGGTGACACCGTGGGCCTTTGCGTGACTCGAGGCTGCAGCTCTGGATTGTACCGTGGCTCCTGCAGTCCTCACCAGGAGCTGGTAACATTTTTCAGTTTTATTTTAAAATGCCTTTGATAGAGCCAAGCAGAGTGGCCCATGGGACTGTGGTCCCAGCTACCGGGGAGTCTGCAGCAGAAGGATGGCTTGAACCTCAGAGTTCAAGGCCAGTCTAGGCAACATTGCAAGGACCCCATCTCAAAAAAAAAGTCATCGATAAAACAGTGATTGTTAATTTTATTTTGTCCCCAGACTTGAATATACATCTCTAACAATATGTGTGAGACGGTAGGAAATATGCATAAAGTACTTTATGCATGCCAGAGCGCCCACCTGAATGAGCATAAATTAGAATTTGGGGAAATTTTGTGTTTGCACTGTGAGTGTAACAGCTTCCAAATGTTTAGACTCAGGAAAGATGAGACAGTGATGTAAACACATGTGATTTTTTTTTTCTTGGTATTTTGTAATGAAACATGTCGAGACTTAGGAGATCTGCATGCATCAGTGGGATAGATTTCCTAGATGACCCATCAATAACGTTGTGCAATCCCAGGTAAAGATCTGCTCAGAGTGCAGGGTGGGCGGCTGGACCTGACTGCGAGGGAGCAGGAAGAGCACCTTCAGGTTCCATCTCCTCCCACAACTCGGCTTCCAGGTGGAACAACAGAGAAAACCTGCAATTATCTAAAAAGGGTCTTTGAAATTCGCCTGTTTTCCAACTACCTGATTGTGTGGAGCCGGATGTTTCCATATACTTCAACCTAAGTAAGGAACCATTAGATTAATGCAGAAGCATCAGTGAGGACCAGCTGCCTCCTACTGAGCCAGGCATAAAGAGATCCGCAACACGAACACGGTCGCTTTCCCACTATTTTTGTTCGTTTGCTTGTTTTTGTTTTTAAGTACATTTCTTCATTTTTTGAATTTTTGTATTTTATTTATATATTTATCCTGGGGGATGAACCCAAGGGTGCTCTTCTACAGAGCTTCATCCACGGTGCTTTTTATTTTGAGACAAGGCCTCTCTAAGTTGCTGAGGGTCTTGCTGAGTGGCCAAGGCAGGCCTGGAATGTGTGATCCTCCTGCCTCAGCCCCCTTCCACCTCTCTGGGATTACAGGTGTGGACCACCTTGCCCAGCTTGAAAGTATAGTTTTTAAAAAATTAAAAATAAAATTTACACCATTTACTTAGCATGTGATGGATTTATTACTATACAGGTGAATTAACAGATTTTTAAAATCTTTAATTTCTGATAGGATAAATATTAGTGACTATAATTCAAATGAAAGCTCTTCGGAGCCTTCGATGACTTTTAAGAAGGCAGACCAAGATGGGGCATGGTGACACACACTTGTAATCCCAGCGATTCCGGAGGCTGAGGAAGAAGGACTGCAGGTTCAAAGCCAGCCTCAGGAACTTAGTGAGATCTTGTCTGAAAATTAAAGTCAAAAGGACATTGGGGTAGAGTAGAGCACCCTGGGTTCAATCCCCAGCACCAAAAGAAAAAAGCCAGGGTCTCTTGAGCTGCTGCCACAGGGTGGGCACCATTCCCAAAGTGTCAAAAGCACTTTTTAAAGGCCCGTTTGTACTAGTTGCTCACAAGGAGTCTTTTAAAGATTTGGAACTTTTTTCCATGAAGTTTCCCACATTTGGGTCAAGAATGTAAGTGGGTTGATTAGTTTTTCATCTGTTACGAATTTTCTTTCAGCTGCTGTAAAAATGTCCACGCTGCGTGTCCCTGAGTTGGTACCAGCAGGGCGTGGCGCCGGCAGAGCTGTGCTGATCCAGCATAACAGGAGCTCGGCGGTGGCCGCGGGCCCTCACTTACTATTGAGGGTTTTTATTATTCAGATCTTCTGTCTCATTTGGACCCGTCCTTTGGTGTAGCTTGCAGAGTGGCCTGGAATCCTGATGACTTGGTTGAAAACACTGCTGGCCTGCGGTCAGTCATCTTGGAGTGGACGCAGTTCCAACAGCAGAGGGCTTTGTTGTTGTCGGGTTTGCTTTGAGGGCTTGGGCGTCCAAAGCTTGTTGTCGCCGTATCCCATACACCTGTATGTAGTCAGGGAGAACGCGTCTGGAGGTGACCAGGGCAAGAGGGACATCCAGGAGCAGAGGCGCTCACAAGCCTTCGCAGGGTCACCGGTCCCTGTGACAATCGCCCTGGAGGTGAGGGGCGATGGCTGAGAGCAGACTCTCGCGCAGAGGCCTGGGTCTTGGTTCTGAAGTAGATAGGGCGGCTCTGCACCAAGGAGGAAGGGCCCGAGCGGAGCGCTGTGGAGAAGCCCCACTCCCAGTGGCTGGGAATGATTTGTGGCCATTGCTTGAGCCGTTTGTGTATTTGTTCTCTCAAGTAGTTTAAAGAGACCCACGGCCTTGTTTACACGGGTCATTTGCTCAACAACGCTTGTCTTAGAGATAACATAAATAAATAATCTTTCCTGAGCAGCGTTTCTTGAAACGGAATCTAGGTGGCTGTGGAGTGTATCACAGAGGACCAAGAATCACTGAGAACTTTGTCCCCTCGCCCTTGTTCTGGTGGGGAGGGTCCTGGGGATTGAACCCAGGGGGGACTCTACCACTGACTAGATCTCCCCAGCCCTTTTATATCTATTTTTATGATGATGATGATGATGATTTTCTTGTGGTGCAGGGGATCAAACCCGGGCCTCAGGCAAGCCAGGCAAATGCTGTACCACTGAGCCCCAGCCCCAGCCCCAGCCCTTTTTTCAAATTTTGAGACAGGGTCTTGCTAAGTTACCGGGACTGGCCTGGTACTTGCAGTTCTCCTGCGTCAGCCTCCGAGTTGTTGGAATTGTAGGTGTGGGTCACCACGCCCAGCTTGGCTTTTTTTTTTTTTCTTTTAATTATTATTATTATTATTTTTTAGTTGTCAATGGACCTTCATTTCATCCATTTTTATGTGGTGCTGAGAATCGAACCCAGGGCCTCACGTAGGCAAGTGCTCTACCACCAAGCTACAGCCCCTCTTTTAATTATTTTTTATTTTGAGACAAGGCCTTGCTAAGTTGCTGAGGTTGGTCTCAAACTTATGATCCTCCTGCCTCAGCCTCCAGTCACTGGGATTACAGCCATGCGCCACCAAGCCCAGCGTGTCAATCATTTCAGGCATTTTACGGTGACTATTTCCCATCAGGGAAGCATTTTAGTAAGGTGAGGCCTCCAGTCACTAGGTGATGTTCCTCCAGCTGTTCTGTGGGCCGAGGCCAGAGTTGGGTCGAGGAAATCATTTCTTTTCAAAAGATGTCTCAAGTTTGGGAGGCAGTGGCTTTGCTTTTGCCTCCTGTCCTCTCCTCTCCACCCCAGTTTGAATCACAGAAAATCTATTCATTTCACACTCTGCACAGCATTGAATGGAAACTGGAGTCCAGAAGCCCAATAGTGGGCCTGAGGTCAGGGCTGGAGGTGGGAAGCATGCTGCAGGGCCGCGCAGCGCCAGGCTGCCGAGGGCTGTTCTGGGGCTGGGGGGCATCTCTGGGGCCTGCCTGGCCTGTGTGAGGCCCTGAGGTCCATCCCAGCACCATCAGAAAGCAAACAACAAGCAAAATACCCTGCAGTGTATATCTAAAATGCACAAAGGGCTGGGTCCTATGTGCGGTGTCCCTGGCGGTGATCGTGGTGATGGTCTCACATGCGCTCACCTCCAGATGCCTCAGGGCGTTGAGCTGGACACAGAAGACACACACAGCCTTTTTTTAATAGACAGGACCTTGCTCTGTTGCCCAGGCTGGTTTCCTGGGCACAAATGGCCCTCCTTCGTGCTAGGACTGCAGGTGGGCACCACTAACTTTTTTTTTTTTTAGAGAATTTTAATATTTATTTATTTTAGTTCACGGCGGACACAACATCTTTGTTTGTATGTGGTGCTGAGGCTCGAACCCGGGCCTCACGCATGCCAGGCGAGCACGCTACCGCTTGATCCACATCCCCAGCCCTAACCACTAACTTTTTAACGTCAGTCATACCTCAGTAAAGTGGCCTAAAGGAACCAAGCCGGGCCGACAGTGAGGCGCACCTGTCACATGTGGACCTGTCCTGTGGCATAGGTTGCAGAGTGGCCTCGAATACTGATGACTTTATTGAAAACACACTTCAAGGCCAGCCTCAACAACTTAGCAAGCCCTAAGCAACTTAGTGAGACCCTGTCCCAAATTAAAAAATAAAAAGGGCTGGGGATGCGGCTCGGTGGTAAAGTGCCCTGGGTTTAATCCCCGGAAGAGAGAAAGAGGAAAAAGGGAGGGACGGAGGGAAGACACCACGCTGGGGGGCACAACCTGAACTGTGCCGTTGAACGTGCCGTCGGGTCGCACACACGCGGGATGCGGTGACGCAGTAGCTGGGTATCGATTGATTCGAGCCCTCCCTGTTTTGTGTGACAGTCATGGCTAATTTGTGACCGGTAGGCAAGTGACGAAGCCCTGAAGTGTTTGGGGGCCTGTGTCCCTCCAGTGTGTGGCTGGGCCAGACCCCTCTCACCTCTCGGGAAGCAGCCGACTTCCCGTCTTGGCCTTCCTTGAAGCCCTCTTCCCTGTGACGTGCTGATGCCCCCCCTGGCTCTCTTCCCCGTCCTCTCTGGCCCCTTCCCGGGCCGGGCTCTGCTGATCTGCGCGGAGCTGCCTTCTCTGGCATTCTGGTCCTTGGCTGTGGCTTCAGATCCGCACCTCCCCGGCCTCTCCTTCAGCTCCAAGTGGAGCTGCTCCCCCCGCCCTGTCCCCAGACGCGCCAGTCCTCTGCTCCAGACGGCAAAGCTCATTTAATTCCACCCTGAAATGCAGGTCCCCCGTGTCTGGACCAATCTAATCGCAGAAAACAGAAGCGGAGTCACCTGGCCCCTCCCCGTCACGTGCCCCCTGCTCCCTCACCTGGTCATTCACTGACACTGGTGGACTCTATTTGTTCAGCGTCTCCAAAACCCTTCCTTGTGCACCTGCATCCCCTGCTCTGGACTGCGAGGACAGGCTGTTGGTGGTCATGCCACCCTCTTGGAAGTCCTGCTCCGGCCTGCTGGAGAGTCTGAGCTCCTCGGGTCTGCGGCAGAGGCCTAGGGTGGCCTGGCCCTGGGCAGTCTCTCATCTTGCCCCAGCACCACCCATCCCCTATGCCTCACTCACCCTCCCTGGGGACCCTGGGGACAAGCCACCTAAGCCATGCACATGCCTCTGCACATGGCAGACCTGTCCCTGGAGCAGGAACCCCAGGCGCTCTGCAAGGTGGAGCACATCTTTTCCTTTGGGTTCCAAGCACAGTTCCTGGCACACAGTGTGTCTGCATAAATAAAGTCCATGAGACATTGTATTTCTTTGAAGAAAGCAGACTTTTATAACTCCCACTTCCTCGCTCCAAACTCCATCAGCTTTTTGGAATGACGACCCAGATGTCCCAGTTAAAGTGTTCCTATAGAGGCTGTGCCTGTGGGTGTCACCTGTCAGTAGTCTGGCATCTGAGAGAGGCAGGTCCCTTTGCATCAGTGACATCCAAAAAGCATGTTTCTAAAGCATGAATGAATCCGCCAGAGCTCAGTACTCCAGGCAATTTTCAAGCCAAATTTGGTAATGTTGATTTAAAACTGTCCAACCAAAAGGCATCCAAGAAGGATCATGGAAACTCTGAGTACTGCTTCCTGTGTGGCAAAGCACTATTGAGGATTGTCCGTTGAAATTATGTCCATCACAGAGGAAGACTGTGAACTCTCTCTCCTTTCTTAAACAGGATCAGTTTGACAACTTAGAAAAACACACACAGTGGGGAATCGACGTTCTTGAGAAATACATCAAGTTTGTAAAGGAAAGAACTGAGATCGAGCTCAGCTATGCAAAGCAACTCAGGTAAGGGTTATTTGGTTAACTGCAAACGAATGTCTCGGTAATTTATATTTGCACCTTATAGTGTAAATGTATAATCCTTTAAATATTCTTTCCCTTTTATGTTATGTAATATTTCAATAGGAGCAGTTTTTAATTTAATTTTAACAATTTTTAATTTTAATTTTAACAATTTTCATAAGACAGTAAAAATAAACTATTGCTTTTAGTCTCAACATTGTGTGTGTGTGTGTGTGAGTGTGTGTGTGTGAGAGAGTATGTGTGAGTGTGTGTGTGTGTGTGTGTGTGTGGTTCTGGGCATGAAACCCAGGGCTTCAGGCATGCTAAGCAAGCGCTCTACCACTGAGCTAAATCCCAAGCACTTAAATTTTTAATGATGAAATGATCCAATAAATTGGTTTTCATATAAAATATTTAAAATTTATTGGTGGAATCGATCTTGAACTTGAAGTAGCATGTAAAATCTTTACTGTGTGGTTGAGCTGACTTATGCATGGTGTTTAAAGACTTATTAAAGATGTAGATGGAGGTGTTGAAGATCTAGATGATTTTTGGTTTGGAAATATTTAGTTTTCAAGCAAAGAGTGTCTGCATGAGAGATGTGTCCTGTTGTTCATCGCTACGGTCCTTGTGGTTTAAATAAGCATCTAAGAGATATGCATGGAATGGTTTTTCTTTTTGAGATACTGATTTTATTTCCTGGGGTGTTTATGCAGAGGTGGGATTGCTGGATCGTAAGGTAGCTGTATTCTTAATATTTTGAGGAACCTCCCTATTGTTGTTTGGACTTTCTGACTTTCACCTCCCCGGGGTTGTGGTCTGTGTTTCCCTAATGGTAGAGATGTTGTGCACCTTTTCACGTAACTGTTGGCTACTTGTATGTCTTTGAAACAATGTCTGTTCAAGACGTTTGCCCATTTTAAAGTCGGGTTATTTGTACGTTTACTATTGAGTCATGTGAGCTCCTTGTACACTTAGTTTCAGGTCTGATATCTTGGATCCATTTTGAATGGGGTTTCGTACGTAGTGTGTGAGGTAAGCATTGCTTCGTGCTTCTGTGGGTGGATATCCATTTTCCCGATGTCGTTTGTTGATGCGACTATCCTTTTCCCGTTGTGTGTTCTTGGAAGGCTTGTCTAAGATGAGTTCTGTAGATCTCTGGGTCCTGTGTAATGAATGTCTTACTGCATGGCAAGTCTTGTTCCCATCAAGTAACTAACGTGTAGGACTCGACGGGGCTCCACCCCAGAGCCACCTCCCCAGCCCTTTTATGTTTTGAGACAAGAGTCTAAGTGGCGGAGGCTGGCTTTGAACTTGTGATCCTCCCGCCTCAGTCCCCTGAGACTCTGGGATCACAGGCGCGTACCACTTCGCCCCCTGGTCCCAAGATTTAAATAACAACGTTCGTTTCCTCACATCTCTGGGAGACATCAAAATCTGTGCTTTGGGGGAATAAATTGGTCAAAAAGATTCCGTGTAAGAGAAGAGCCTCGTGGGGCTGGTGGCTGCTGTGGCCCCGTGACCCTGCTGGACTCCTCACTTCCCGCCCTCCCACGGGCTTCCCATGCTTGGCAGCCTCCTTTCCCAGCCTCCCGCCTGCCTCCTACTTCACAGAAACAGCGAAGGCGACCCCCGAGAAGGCGTGGACTCACTCTGACCACCCCACCCACCTGCCAGCTCCCACAGCCCCCTGGACACCCCCGTCCCAGGCCCTCCTCTGAGCACCCATCTCGGCCTCTCACCCCAGAGCTCCGCTCAGGCCGCCCCTGTCGCCCATCACCAGTTCTCTCCTCTCTTCAGAATCTCCCCAGCGCGTCCCCCATTGTCAAGGAAAAGCAGAGCCTCCCTGGGCTCAGCACCCACCCCCACCCCCCGCCACCACCCTTCTTTGCTCCCCTCTGCCGCGGGTTCCTCGGGCACCTGGGTGGCCCCTCCACCGACTTCAAACCCCAGCCCAGTCCTGTCTTTCGATGGCCCCTCCTCGGCCCTTTGGCAGCTTTGACAGCAGCGTGCACCCTCCCCCGAGTTCTCCAGACCCCTCCTGTGCTGGAAGCTCCTCTGGGGACCCTGGCCGCGTCCTGTCCCTCCTTGCTGAGCGCAGCTGTTTGGGCTCCAGCCCCCGCCGAGCAGTGACTCACACATCTGTATCTCCTAGCTGACCTCTCTCCCCAACTCCAGAAGCAGCTGCTCTCAACCTCTGTTTGGATGTCCAAAAATAACTGCCCGGGGCTGCCCGGAAGGGATTCCCGCCCCAGTGACTTGCTGTCGCCTGTGGCAGCCCAGTTTCCTCCAGCCCTCGGGGCAGCTGCGCCCTTCCTGGCCCGGGGAGAACCCCAGAGCCATCTTCCCGCCTTCCCCTCTCCCAGACTGCCCACCAAGCCATCCGAAGCCCCTGCGACCCTGACCACTTCTCACCTCCGCTGCCCGCTCCGGGGCCTAGGTCGCCATCACCTCCTGCCTGGGTTACTAGGGTCTTCCAGCGGCCCTACTGGACCCCACCCCGTTGGCGGCCTGTTGTCTACAAAGCCATCGGATCACAGCTCCCTCCATTCAGGACTCCAGCAGCCTCCGCGTTTCACAGAGTCAAGTCCTTCAGGACTGTCCTGAAGTCCTTCCAGGGACCTGTCCTACAAACCCGCAGGCAGCGGCCCCACCCCCTCCATCTCCTCCGGCCTCCAGGTCTCTGCGCAGTTCGCAGAGGCTCCCAGCTTCCTGGGCGGCAGCGTGCTCCTGCCCCAGGGCTGGCCTGACCCTTCCTAAAGATGTCACCTGAGCGACCTTCCCCAGGCCCTGAGTGACCGCTCCTTCACCTCCTCCAGGTCACTGGGCAGTCCTGCTTCGACCTCCGCCCCGTGCTCTGCCTTACTTCAGTTCGTCCGTGATTACTTTCCAACACTGCCAACGTTTCTTTGTTGTTGTTTTTTTTTTCATGAGAATCGAACTGAGAATCGAACCCAGTGCCTCATGCCTGCCAGGCAAGCGCTCCACCCCGAGCCACAGCCCAGCTCTTAATTATGTTTTTCATATTTATTTATTTATTTATTTGTTTGTTTGTTAGTTGTAGTGGACACAGTACCTTTTATTTTTATTTATTTATTTTTATGAGGTGCTGAGGATCGAACCCAGGGCCTTGCAGGTGCCAGGAGCGCTCCACCGCTGAGCCCCAGCCCGGCCCCTCCAGCTGTTTATTTTTAAATTGACAAAAGTCTGCGGGTGTCTGGCGAGCGACCTGAAGTTTTGGTGTCTGTTGCAGTGTCAAAGTTAAATCAGGCTCATACAGACCTTAGCTCGCCCCTTTGTGTGTGTGGTGAGAACCCTAAGATCCACTCAGTAATTTTCAAGTAGACTCTCTGTTGTCACTAACTGTGGTCACAGGTTGTGCAGAGGTCTCTTGAACTGAAATGTTGTGTAGTTTGACGGACTCCTCCCCAGCGTCCCCTGGACTCCTCCCCAGGGTCCCATGGATATCTAGTGCATGCATCTGTGTTGGCTGGCTCCTGCTTTCCTCCTGCCTGGAGCAAGCCCCAGGGCTCTTGGAGCAGGGGTCGCTGGTGAGCCCTCTCTGTGGCGCAGTGCCTGACACAGAGAGGGTGAATGTTCATTCCAAGGGGGAAGCCGCAGGGCACAGGGTGGAGATACCCGTCACCACCTGGTCATCAGGCCCAGGAGCCAGCGGGGCTTGGACCACAAAAGGTGTAACCTCTGAGGAGGCACCAGCAGCTGTAGTCCCTGGGGATGCTCAGGAAGGAGTGCTGCGCCTGGGAGTCACCTTCAAAGGATTCAGTGGAGCTGGGCGGGTGGAGCTCATCCACAATCCCAGTGACTCTGGAGGCTAAGGCAGGAGGATTGCTGGGTCAAAGCCAGCCTCAGCAGCTTAGTGAGGCCCTGAGCAACTTAGGAAGACCCTGTCTCTAAATAAAAACATTTTAAAAAAGGACTCGGGGGAGGCTGAGGCTGGGGCTCAGAGGTACAGCGATAGCCTAGCATGCATGGGGCACTGGGTTCTCGATCCTGGACACTACATAAAAATAAAATAAAGGTATTGTGCCCACCTACAACTAAAAAGTAAACGTTTTTTTGTTTGTTCGTTTGTTTGTTTGTTTTAAAGGGCTGGGGATGTGGCTCAGTGGTTAAGTTAAGCTCCCAGTGTTCAATCCCAGGGGGTGGGGTGAAGAATTAAATGTAAAGATTTGTCACCCCAGATAAGTAAAACCAGTGCTGTGATGGAGGGTGACGGGGACGGGTGGCACATGGAGGAGCCACTGCATCAGAACTGAAGGACTAAAGGAAGCCGGGCACATGAGGGGCGGGCACTCCTCCAGGTGGAGGGAGAGCAGGTGCCAAGGCCCTGAGGTTGGAACATGTTCAAGGAACGGAAAGGCCAGCACCGCTGGAGTTTAGTTGACAAATACTTTCTTGAAATATCAATATGTCAAAAAATGAATGTGACTTTGGGGAGGGCCTCTGTCATTAAACAATTTTTTTCTGCATCAGAGGGGGAAAACATCCACTTACATTTATGTATTGTTTTGCAGTACTGGGGATTGAACCAGGATGCTGTACCATGGAGTTACAGCCCCAGCCCTTTTTATATTTTATTTTGAGACAGGGTCTTAACATAACTTTGTTTTCCTTTCGACAGTGTCTTGTTACATTGCCCAGGTTAATCTCAAATCCCTAGGCTCAAGTGATGCTCCTGCCTCAACCTCCCCCAGTGTCTGTCTGTCTGTCTCTCTCTCTCTATTTTTTTTTTTTTTTTTAGTGGTACAGGAATTTACCCCAAGGGTGTTCTAGCACTGAGCTCCATCCCTAGTCATTTTTCTTTTTTTCCTTTTAAGATAAGGTCTTGTTAAGTTGCTGAGGTTGGCCTCAAACTTGTGATCCTCCTGCCTCAGCCTCCAGAGTTGCTGGGACGGCACGCGTGTACCACTGTGCACTCTTTAAAGCCCCTTGTTCTAGTGAAGCCCTAAACAGTATTAAAGACCCACTGTGAGTGACGTTCCATTCCATTTTCACAAATGAGTAGCACCTTGACGGTGTTTGCATTTCAAGTAGCGTTCAAATGCTTCTTAAAAGCACTAATGATAATATGCTCTCGAAATGCCAGCAGAAGCCTAAAAGCTAAAGAGATCTGGAAATGAACTTTGGTTGGATCCAACAATATCCCTCCCAAGGCTATCTCTGCCACTGAAATAAAAGAAAAAAGAAAAGAAAGATCCATCTTATTTGTAGTATTTGAAAAACAAACAGGTAAATAAAAAAAGAGACCCCCAAGTCATCCTTGAATGTAGAGGGGTCTGCCCGAGGAGCCTGGGGCGCTCCAGCACTCAGGTTCTGTCTAGGGGACTGATTAATGGGGAAGAGGAGCACACACATTCTTCACCAGGGACCGGATGCAGACCTGGGTGATTCCAAAGACCGCGAGGTTCTTTTTAAAATGAGATCCTTGGGCCCTGTCCCAGACCCTCTGAAACAGAAGGTCCCGGGTGGGGCCAGGAATGTTTCTGGTTTTTTTCCTTCTCCCTTTTATTTATTCTTCTCCCTTTTATTTATTTTTTAAAAGCTCACCACAAAATTTCTGGATAAAGATGACAAAAGAGGGCTGGGGCTGGGGCTCAGTGGCAGAGCACGTGCCTGGCGTGTGTGAGGCCCTGGGTTCGAATCTCAGCACCACATGTAAATAAATGAATAGAATAAAGGTCCTCCAACATCTAAAAACATATTTAAAAAAAAAAAAAAAGATGGCAAAAGAACATCCGATCAGAAGATGGTGTGTCCCAACAAGAAGAGGTGAAAAAGAGAAGCCAGAGAGTCTCAGCCGCAGGAAAACAAGCAAACGAAGAAAGTCGCTCTCATCCATGGCCCCAAGCTCAGGCAGGGAGCCAGGGAGAGGGACAGGAGGTGCTGGGGCAGCCAGAGAGGACGCCGACCCCACCCCCAGCCACAGGAAGGGAAACGAGTCCTGAATCAGTTCAGACAGAAGCCACCGAGGGCCACACTCAGGAAATGGTGGCAGGAAGACTCCAGAGGCAGACATCAGTGTCCACCCTCCGGCCTCTCCGTGCCCCACGTCGAGGCTGAACGCCCCTGAATCACCCAAACTAGGACGTCCACGGCCCCGAAACTCCTTTGCCTAATGGGGTCACCACCAAGGGGCCTCCGAGGGGTTCCAGAGACAGGGGGCCCGGAGGCTGGGCCAGGCCCTGTCCACCCCTCCCTAACCGCCTGTCCCCAGCTCCCAGCACACAGAGCACAGGGCCCTCGGGCCTCGGGGGGACCTCGGGAAGGAGCCACAGACCAGAGCAGGGAGAGGAAGCGCGGGGCACCCACAGGCACCGTCACCAACGGGGCGCCTCTGTGACACCCTCACCAGCCACGCCTCGTTAGACCTCCTCACCCACCTCAGGAATCGGGGGTCACCGTGTAGGCTTCACAGGGGACGCACAGGGAGCCACCTGCCGGCTCCTACGGCTGTCAGGGTCCGTCCAGGTGGGACTCTGGAATCCCACGGGGGCCCACGGCCCGGTCAGACATGGCAAGGCCACATGGCAAGGCCACTCGGCCCGCAACAGGGGGACAGAAAGGAAGGAGTGGAGGCCGCAAAGCCAGCCGGGAAGAAAGCCCGAGAATAAGCAGAGCCAGGCCCTGGGAGTGTTCTGCACAGTGACGGTGACAGCACGTAGCCCCCCCACGGGTCAGAACTGACGCGGTGGAGGGAGACCCAAAGGGGACCGAGGACCCCGACATCCCACTGTGGAACTCACACATAAAGCAGTTGTCACCGAGTCAGGTGAGGGACAGGCTCAAGGTGACCGTGGTGTGAACACAACCAACAAAATCAGGGTCAGAAGAGACCTGGAGGAGGGGACACTGAGGAAAGTGTCACCTGCAGCTCTCCAGCAGCAGGACAGGAAGGCAGTCAGCCCTGACAAGGAAGTTCCCTGGAGCCAGCGCAGAGCCGCCTCTGCCTCCGGGGGCCGCCGAGAGCCGGCAGGAAGCCGTCACCAGGGGATGGGCGAGGACAGTGCTGGCGCTGGGTTTTTCCACCAAGGGCCAAGGAAGCAACGCTGTTGGGACAGGAAAAGCACCACCAGACACCCGCCAAGCCCTGGGTGATGTCCTTCCTGTCACCAAGGAACAGCGGAGAAGCTGTGGCCCAGGGGACGCGCACAACCAGCCTTCAAGTGTAGCTGGAGGACAAATGGACACCCCCCCAGGCAAACCACGTGGCCGACTACTAGAGGAAGAAGACGTGGAACATCATTTATCTTTAGAAGTGACTCAGTTGAGTCTATAAAATTACTACATGGAAGAAAAAGATTTTATTTATTTTGTGTGTGTGTGTGTGTGTGCTGGGGATTGAATCCAAGGGCACCTAACCTCTGAGCCACATCCCCAGCCCTTTTTATTTAAAGACAGGGTATCGCTGAGTTGCTCAGGGTCTCACTAAATTGCTGAGGCTGGCCTTGACTTGCAATCCTCCTGCCTCAGTCTCCTGAGTCCCTGGGATTACGGGCGTGTGCCAGTGTGCCCCACTCTGGAATTAAAAAAAAAAAGACACAATAATAACATCAAATGAGTTTTTATAATCTTTTGATAAATCTTATGAGCTCATATTTGAAGTTTAGCAAATTCTTCAGCTTTACTTTAAATGTCTTTTATACTATTAAAAGATGTTTAAATTTAATACTATATGCACACCATGCTATATGTGTGTGTGTATATATACATATATATATGAAATATTTTAGAAAATAATTTGTCCCTGGTTGCCATGTATATACAATGAGCTCCAATAATATAACAAACCTGGACTTGAATGGTTCATTTAAAAGAAAGTATAGGGGGCTGAGGATACAGCTCAGTTAGTAGAGTGCTTGTCTTGCATACACAAGGCCCTGGGTTCAATCTCCAGCACCATAAAAAAATTAAAATAAAATAAAGTATAAACTGGGCACAGTGGTGACACCTGTAATCCCAGGGACTCTGGACACTGAGTCTGGAGTATTACAAGTTCAAGGTCAGCCTCAGCAAGACACTGTCTCAAAATATAAAAGGGCTAGGGATGTGGATCAGAGCCAGAGCACCCCTGGGTTCAGTGCCAGTATGTATAAATAAATAAGAAAATATCACCTGGGCGTGGTGGCACACACTTACATTCCCTGTGGCTCAGGAGGCTGAGGCAGGAGGATCACAAGTTTGAGGGCAACTGGGGCTGAAACCCTTTCTCAACATAAAAAGGGCTGGAGATGTACCTCAGTGTTAGAATGACCCTAGGTTCAATCCCCAGTATCAAAAAAGAAGAAAATTTTTCTCCATATTGCAATATCACATACTCAATTGACTTTGAATATAAAATGTACCGGGATCAAAATGGTCGATGTGTCAATTTTTTTCAGCCAATTTGTAGATATGGAGAAAATGGAAAAAATAAAAGTGTGGAATCATAAAGTTACTTCTCTGAGAGAGGAGGGGCCGGGGGAGACGAAGCCGGAGGCCAAGCAGCAGCAGACTTGGGAAAGGAGGAGGCCCCCCAGGGCCCTTGCTCCCCTCCGAGAGCCCAAGCCAGGCCCAGGAGAGGCAGCCCCAGAACTAGAGGGAGGGTTCTGCTCTCTGTGGGTTTGCTTAAGCTACGGAATACAGACAGACAGAAGCACCTGGGCTTCCCGCCCGCTGGGGGACGTGGGCTGGCCTTGCTCAGTGCCCACGGAGGCAGCTGGAGGCTGTTTAGGTGAGTGTCTTGGCAGGGCTTTCCATTGGTGCCTTGGGGGGCGGACGCACGGCTTGGACTTTGGTTTTTGATTTAAACATGTGGGCACAGTCTGGACTTGGGATGACCATGAGGAGATGGTGGCCTGGTGCAGGCCCTTGCACACCGAGTGAGGTCCGTGCTGTTGGGTTCCACAGGCAGGCGGCGCCGTCCAGGTGGGTGGCCGCTGGTAAGTTCCTGCTCTTATCTATCTGCTGCTTCTAGCGAGTCTTTCATGGCAGCCTTGATGCGGGTGCTGAGAAAATGGTGGAAATGACAGGTTTCATCTGTGGACATCTGTGATTTTTTTTTTCCCCAGACTTTGACCTGTGTCATGTTTCAGCCCTGATGTCTCCATTGCCCTTCTACATAGGTGATGTGTCTGCATTTTTATTTCAGGAATCTTTCGAAGAAATACCAACCTAAGAAGAACTCGAAGGAGGAGGAGGAATACAGGTATGTCAGCTGATGACGGCTGGCGGCATTTAGACAGCAGCGGTGACTGTGAGGGACAGAGGGGACACACGTCCCTGAGACCAAGCCGACTCCATCTTCCTGTCTGAGTGTGTTTTTAAATTGGGGAGAACAATAAGAACATTTTCTAGTTAACTTTATTTTACACTGAGCCGCCAGAACTAGCTCGTCCAGATTGTTTCAGTTCCAGCAACGAGGACAAGTTCTGGGGCATAGCCTAAGCACGTGCAGGAAGTATGGGCCACATACATCCTGGAGTTGGGGTTTGGGTTTGTAATCTCAGGACTTCCTGTCAGGCGAGTCATGCCTCGGAGAAACCTGGCCCTCTCAGTCCCAATGGAGGCTCCCCCACCCCCAGGACTCGGCGTTGAACCCAGGGTGCCTGATCACACCTAATCAGGGTGCTGAGCTACATCCTCAGCGTTTTTATCTGAGACAGAGCCTTGCTCAGTTGCTCGGGGCCTGACTTAGTTGCTGGGGCTGGCCTTGAACTGGTGACCCTCTGTCTGAGCCTCTGGAGCTGCTGGCGTCGTAGGTGTCACCCCCGGGGCCCAGCTCAACTAAGCTGTGGACAGACGGAAGGCACTGCCTCTGACTCTGACCTAAGCATCCGTCATGTCCGAGCCGCGTACGTGCAGTCTTCTGGGCACCGTGTCCACACTGAGCCTTGGCCAACAGCTCTCGCCCCACACAGGCAGCGGGTCTCACAGATCGAGCGTCTGGCGCTAATTAATTCTGAGCCCTTTTGGCGAGAGCCGCTGATGTGTAATGAACCACTGAGCCCCTCCGGGGGGCCGACGTCCATTAACCCGATCACCGTCTCCCCGGCGTGAAGCAGGGCGAGACCGAGTGGCCCTGTGTGACGAGCCCTACTCTGTCCCCTAGGTACACGTCGTGCAAGGCCTTTCTTTCCACCCTGAACGAGATGAACGACTACGCGGGGCAGCACGAGGTCATCTCGGAGAACATGACGTCGCAGATCACCACGGACCTGGCGCGCTTCGTGCAGGAGCTGAAGCAGGAGAGGAAATCGGTAAAATGTCCCCAGAGGACTTAGAACCAGAGGGAGACAAGAAGTGGCGCCTGTTCCTAAAAAATGCCTCTGGGTCTCATGTGCAGTTCCAAAGGCCCCACAGACGCCGGGAAGCCCACCAAAGGGCCAGGAGCGTGGGCCCTTTGAGGAATTAAGGGTATTTGGACCCACCGACACTCAGGGGGAGTGATGTCATATGGGGAGTAAACGGTGTTAGAACAAGGGCTTCAAAAAGAAGAGACTAACAGGCGACAAAAATGCTTACAAGGCTAGGCACGGTGGCCACGCCTGTCATCCCAGCAGCTCGGAGGCTGAGGCAGGAGGATCACGAGTTCAAAGCCAGCCTCAGCAATTGAGCGAGGCCCTAAGCAACTCAGTGAGACCCTGTCTCTAAATGAGATATTAAAAGGCTGGGGATGGGCTCAGCAGTTACGTGCTCCTGGTTCCATCCCCGGCCCTCCTAAAAATGTTTAAAAATGTTTATAAGGAGGACAAAACCCAGAAAGATGTCCTCTGCTGCCGCCTGCTTCCCCCAGGTGTTGACTTGGCTCCTCCGGCCCCTCCACGGCCTTCCTGTGGATCTGTTGTTGACCTGAGGGGAAATGTACATTTGAAGGACACTCACAGTTATGCTTTTGCCTTTGGATCCTTTCTTTGTGGTGCTGAGGACGAAGCCAGGCCTCAGGTGTGGAGGCCGCACTGCCAGAGCCACAGCCCTGCAGCTGAGAGTCCCTTGATGCCATGGCCCTTGTCAGTCCACGTCAAGTGCTTGTAAAGTGCAGAGTGACTTCCTACTAGTAATAAAGTCCCACAGCGGGCCACTCACGTGCTTTTTAATATAATCTGAGTCTAGGAGTCTAGGGTAGTTCTCTGAGTGCTGTGGAGGCCCCCAACCAACAAGGTTGGCTCCTCCTGGAATGGAGGACTCACTAAATAATAATGACAGGAATATTGCTTAATTGCAACTGTGATAGTTGCTAGAAAGCGAGGAGACAGGTGCAGAGACACATGCAGTGGGAATCCCCAGCGCGCTCACGACTGGGGGTCCCAGAGAGCCTGGGGGTCCCAGAGAGCCGAGAGTTAAGGCCTTAAGAGGAGACATGACAGCGAGTAGGATTTGCCTGGGTTCAGCCTTCCACAGGGAAAGCCAGTGCAAAGGCCCTGGGACAGCTGAGTTTATAGACATGCAGCACAGGACTGAGGGTATGCTCAGGCCTTCCTTTAAAATCACCTGTTGGTTTGAAAGACAAGGCCCATGGAGAATTCTTACTTATTCCTGCTGGAGCAGCGGCTGCTGCTGTCTGGAGACGTGTCTGATTGACTAGAGAGGGCAGCTGGGGTGTGGCTGCTTCAACCTGGAGAGCAGAGGCCCGGGATGCCGCTGGACGTCCTGAACACAGGACAGCCCTTCCCCGTGGAACCTCCGGGCCCCAAACCGCCCCAAACCTCCATGTGCGGAGACAGAGAACCCCTGCAGTGGACCTGGGTGTGACAGCCTCTGGCGGGCGGTTCATTAAAGAACCTATTCTATTTTACGCAGCGGAGGGAGCCGGGAGCAGCGTCCCGTGGCTCAGATACCTCACGTAGTGATGACAGGCACCGCAGATCTGAACTCAGTACCTGGCTGCTGCCCTGGTCCCTGAACTTCCCCTGACCTTGGAAAGTTCTACCTCCTTCCTGTTTATTGCTGTGATCAATGCTGCCTCTCAGGGCTGACCTTCCCCGATCCTTGTAGCTCAGCATTTTAGCCAACTCCCTAAACAGGACCCAGGCACTTACCTAAGGAGGAAATACCAGGTCCCTTTGTGGAGTGAGTCACGGGGTGGGAAGCCCCCTCCCTCCCTGAATTCCCCTGCTCTGACTGCATGCCTCCTGGCAGCTCCTGCCCAGGCCTTGTGCTCCTGCCCCAGGGCCTTTGCACTGGCCTTTTGGTCCTTGGAAAGCCTTTCCCCAGATATTTTCAGAGCTCACTCCTGACTTCTTCCTCAGGAATGTCACCTTCTCTATTTCTACTCCCTTCTCAGGACCTTCCTCTGCTCTCCTCTCTCCTCTTGGCTTTGGTACTGGGTCATACCAGGGCTGTGCACGGGCTCAGCGCATGCCCTGTTGCTGAGCAAGTCCTGCTCCCAGCACCTGGCAGCTCGGGGGTCCCTGCCGGCTTGTTCTTCTCCCACCCACCCTGGCCTGGGAGCTCGATGAGCAGGGGTTTTCTTGTCCACCCTTGTGTCCTAAGTACCTGGACAGGGCCTAGCGTGACAGTGTGGGATGAAAGAAGTGACGGAGACGTTAAAGAAGCAGCCGGTCTGCGGCAGGAGAGCGCTTGCCTGGCTGAAGTCCTGGGGGTCCCCAGCACAAGGAAGAGGGCAGTTAGCATCCACTTCTCAGTTACAGCTGTTACTAGCTGAGGACCCTGTTCCTTGGCCACGCTGTGACTGGGTTGTCTTATTCACATGCTGTTGTTGGCCCCTTTTTGTGGTCATTTGCATCTATATTTGGAATTCTGTTCATTTTATAAAATCCGAAATTACAGGACTAGCCAGGGAATCCCAGCCACCTGGGAGGCTGAGGCAAGCGGATCTCAAGTTCGAGGCCAGCCTTAGCAACTTCTCGAGGCCCTAAGTGCTTTGGTGACCCCCGGCCTCTAAATGAAAAATTAAAAGGCCTGAGGCTGTGGCCCCGTGGCTAAGCGCCCTGGGCTCAGTCCCCAGTACTGCGATGGAGAAACTCGTAGGTAAGTGACCCCTCTCCACACCTGCCGTCCGGGCACCCTCTTCTGTCTCTCCCACCACAGGGACCTGTCAGTGCTCCCACCGCCTCCCTCCTCCTGCAGCAGCGGGGCGCACACTGGTGCCCAGGTCCTGAGAGCCCCACCCAGCTCCTGAACACACTGGTGAGGGGCTCCCCGTGTTAGTTTGGAAGGGGGAGTTTACACCTGAGGAGGAGCTGGGTGAGTGACCTGATTGCAGGCTTCATGTTTTGTTGGATACTGGGGATGGAGTCCCAGGACTGCTTACCACTCAGATCCAGCTTCAGCCCTTCTTAATAATTTGAGACAGGGTCTTGCCAACTTGCTGAGGCTGGCCTCGAACAGGCGATCCTCCTGCCTCAGCCTCTGAGTCACGGATTGCAAGGGATTGCAGGTGCATCCTGCTGGTTAAGGATTTAAGCAGGGTGTGAATAGCTCACAGGACAGGACTGAGGTGCTCGCCCTGGGGCATCGTCCCACTGGTCCACATAGATCCCCCTGCACCACCTAGATTTAAAGCTAGATGAATCCTGCCAATCCCAAGTAAGGCTCGGGAGCCACCAGTGTTAGGACCCCGTGTGGGTTGGGAGGAAGGGAACGTATTTGTCACAGACTGTTTTCTAGAAGCTCCCTCTTTCTTTGCCGTGTTAAAGTCTTTGTGTGGCTGTTTCCATCCGAGGAATCTGAGCTGTAGTTAGGATCGCAGCTGCTTGACCGGGCTCACTTGGGTGCTGGTTGACCGTGCTCACTTGGGTGCTGGTTGACCGTGCTCACCAGGGTGCTGGTTGACTGTCCTCACCAGGGTGCTGGTTGACCGTGCTCACTTGGGTGCTGGTTGACCGTGCTCACTTGGGTGCTGGTTGACTGTCTTCACCAGGGTGCTGGTTGACCATGCTCACTTGGGTGCTGGTTGACCGTGCTCACCAGGGTGCTGGTTGACTGTCCTCACCAGGGTGCTGGTTGACCGGGCTCACTTGGGTGCTGGTTGACTGTGCTCACTTGGGTGCTGGTTGACTGTGCTCACTTGGGTGCTGGTTGACTGTCCTCACCAGGGTGCTGGTTGACCGTGCTCACTTGGGTGCTGGTTGACCGTGCTCACTTGGGTGCTGGTTGACCGTGCTCACTTGGGTGCTGGTTGACTGTCCTCACCAGGGTGCTGGTTGACCGTGCTCACTTGGGTGCTGGTTGACTGTGCTCACCAGGGTGCTGGTTGACTGTCCTCACCAGGGTGCTGGTTGACCGTGCTCACTTGGGTGCTGGTTGACTGTGCTCACTTGGGTGCTGGTTGACCGTGCTCACTTGGGTGCTGGTTGACTGTCCTCACCAGGGTGCTGGTTGACCGTGCTCACTTGGGTGCTGGTTGACCGTGCTCACTTGGGTGCTGGTTGACTGTCCTCACCAGGGTGCTGGTTGACCGGGCTCACTTGGGTGCTGGTTGACTGTGCTCACTTGGGTGCTGGTTCTCTTATTTCTTCTACTTATTTGTTTAAAGGCTCTCAGTGCTGTGGTTTGGTTTTTCAACCACTAGTGACTTGATCTGCATAAACGGGGCAGGATGAGCCAGTGTCACCCTCTCTGCCCAGCGGGGACACTCCGCGGCTCGCCCCGCCTCCGGTGGTTCATCTCCTCCATCTCCTGGGCGCTGTGTGTCTTGGATTCTCTGTGGTGCTTTTTCATTTTGTTGCTGAGCCTTCTCTGGGCTTCCCCTGGCCCCTGGGAAGTTTTTCAAACAAATCTCCAAAGGTGATTTTATCTGTGGAGGCTAAAGTCAAAATGGAAATAAGTAACTGTAGCTGTCACCTGCGATATCATCAGGCATTTTTTTTTAGTCCCATCATGTTTTGGAAGAAATGAAAGCCATCTCCTCACAGGAGCGGGGCCCTGGTCCCTGGTAGGAGGGGGTCTCTGGTGACTTCATTCCTCCCGCTCCAAAAGCTCTTATTATCTTGTCCCCAGGACAATTCCCCTTTCTGTGGAGCTGGAGGCGCCCTTTGGACAACACTTGCCCACTGTCCAGAGGCGCAGCTCTGCCATTGTTTGTTGGTGAACACCAAGTGCATCTGCAGCGCAGCCCTCCACATCGCTCTTCCCCGAGGAGGCAGAGGGGGCTGGCACAGAGGACTGGGGGTGCAGGCCGCTGCAGGGTGGGCTCTGCTTGGAGGGTCGTGGTCCAGGGACCACGCTGCCCAGGAAGGCCCGTGGGGTTTGGCTTTTCTGTTGTTGTTTGGGGGTTTTATTTTTATTTATTTTTTTGTAATATTTTTAGTCTCCAAGTTAAAAAAATCTAAAAAACAGCTGGGGATGTGGCTTTGTGGTTCAGCACCCCTGGGCTCAATCCCTGGTACCAAAAAAAAATAAAAATAAAAATAAGAGTTGCCGTGGAGACAAAGCAGAGCTCTGAAGCGTCCCCGGGCTCCTTCCTCTTTGTGCACCTGTCTTTGAATCTCCAGTGAGACCTTTTGGGAAAGATGGTTCCCCGTCAGCAAACCTCAGGACCCTGTGGCCCTGCTTGGGAATGGGGACAGCTTGTTACCAAAGGCTCAGTCCTCGTCCTAACCCCAATCCAATAGCAAGGACAGGGTTTGGAGAAAGGGGAAAAGCAGGTTCATTGTTTTCCTAGCAAAAGAGAAATAGGGACTGCTGTCCCCGAGGCTGGGGTTCCGCCCATGCAGGGACCAGGGGCTTTGAAGAGGTGATTCAAGGCTACCTTCCGGTCGCTGTGGAGTTGAGTTGTAATTCCCTGGTTGATTTGGGAAATGGCCATTTCTGAGATCTGGTGCCGTCCCCAAAGTCTGACTTGGTTCCTGTGGTGGGTGTGTGCCCCAGGCCCCGTCGTAACTCTGTCTAGGATGGGGAAGAACGGTGACCCTCTGTCCCCTGAGATTAGGGAGGGGGGGAGGTTGGGGGGGAGCAGGGGGAGAAGAAGAGAAAGAAAGATGTCCTTATTAAAAGTAAGTCACAGCAGCAGAGCACAGGGGCTGTGTTCAGAGCATAAAGTGGACCAGGGCCACAAGTTCTCTCGATAGGGGGACAAAGCCACCAGACCAGGGCCAGGAAGGTGCCTCACTGCAAGGGCTGACTTTGACCCCAGGTGACTTCTGCAAGGGACCCTTTCATCCCTGCTGGCGACTGGCTCGTCCCCGGGACCTTCTTCCTCTTTCCTCCCCACTTTGGGTGCTTCCTCCGGGGCCCAGAGGACCCTCCCCTGCCCTGAGCTCTGCTTCTTGATCCTTCCACAGCCTTTTCCTTGCTGGGTTTGATCCCCAGCTTTAGACTCCTCGGCTTTTCGGTTTTATTCCTGGGTCCATTGTGAGAGCTGAATAATGAAGTCCCAACGGCTCCTCTTGGGCTGGAGGAGACGGAGCAGGGAAACCTGACCTCCCCAGAGAGCCCGGTTCGTCCCTATAAAGGAGCACTGTTCTTCCCAACCCCGGCTGGGCTCCCCTGCGGCCTTCCCCAGGCCTTCCCCAGGTCAGCCGTCCACGGGGCTCCGCCCAGTTGTAGGTGTGGGTAAGCTCAGAGCTCTGCGGATGTGCTTAGGGGACCTCTTGGCTCCTGTCATTCCTTCACCTACCTTCTCCTCTGCGCACCTGCCACCCAACACTGGTGACTCTACATGGATCCTTGGTTCTAACCCTTCCCTACCCTCAGATCCGCTCACCCACAACATTAGACTGTCCACGGGGGAGTCTCGCAGAAATTCCACTCTTAGACCAAACTAGTGCTGTGCGTCTGGCCCTCCCCTCTGACCCGATTTCTTTGGTCTTCCTCTCCTAAAGCCCAGACCCCAAGCCTGGGGTCACCTGGACATCTCGTTATCACAGGTCTGGTCCCACCCCCAGGAAATTCTGCTGGGTTGGCTGAAGGGCCTGGGGGTGTGGCTCAGTGGCAGGGGCTTGCTCAGCATTTGCAAGATCCTGAGTTCATCCCCAGCCCTGCAGATCCAATCCATCAATCAATCAGTCAATCAATCAATCAGTCAATGTAGATGATGAAAGCACTCATCCATATAGAGCTTTTACACAAGAGTTTGCTGCAGCCTTCTCAGTGGCCAAAATGGGAACAAACCAATGTCCATCCCCTGACCGACGTACAAGTGAAGTGTGGCATTGGCCCACGGCGGGGTATCATCTGACAATAAAGAGGACTGAGGTCCTGACACTGTGACAACATGGACGAACCTTTAGAGATGATGGAGACACTGAGCCAGTCACACAGTTCTCATGGCTCTGTGACCTGCTCACACGAAATACCCACAACTGGCAGATTCACAGACAGGAGCTATCATGGTGGCTTTCTGGGGTTGGGGACGACGGGGGGGTGGGGGTAGAGGGTGACGGCTAAGAGGTTCGGTTTTACTTTTTGGGGTGATGAAAAATGTTCTAAAATCAATTGTGGTGGTCCCAAACAATTTAAGTGGGTCCGTCCCGTGACACGTGAATCACACCTCAGAACAGCTGAAATGACCAGGTGGCTGCTGTCTTGAGGACCTCCTGTCTCACGGTGGCGTCTGTCCCCTCCATCAGGCGGTTCTAGAGTGTTGGAGGGAGCCCGGTGGCTGTTTCCTTTTCCTCTCCAGGTTTTCCAACCTGGAGGCCCGTCCTAGGCGGTCAACATGGACTGGTTTTGGGTGCTGGGGTGGCACTGCAGGCGTCCCTGTTGCTGGGCCAGTGCTCTACCCTGAGTCACACCCAGCCCCATCCCAGATGTGGAGATGTCCGTATTACCTAAGTGCAGGAAAGTGTCTTCTCTGTGACCACGTGAGGCCAGGGGCACTGATGCCGATGTGTTCCCCTTTGCAGAACTTTCACGATGGCCGGAAAGCGCAGCAGCACATGGAGACCTGCTGGAAGCAGCTTGAATCCGTAAGTGAAAGCAAACAGCAAAGGCGGTTCCTCCCTCCCTCCCTTGTGCTGGGGGCTGAACCCAGGGCCTTGTGCCTGTGAGGCAGGCCTCCACCAAGGGGGCTGTATCCCCAGCCCGAAAGCAACTCTTTATGGATTTTTTCTGATTCAAGTTTGATTTAGGCTTGAATCGCTCAGTGAGTAAAAGCAGATAAGTAAACAAAAGCACTGAAAAGACGCCTTCACAGACATTTCTCCTTGGAATTCCATTTAACTTGCTTCCGGAGCCATTACCTCCATTAAACGTGGAGCCAGAGTGCTCGAGTATTTCTTTTTTCTAGAAGTCGTGGAAAGAGCAGAGATGAGACAGACTTAATGGAAATAAACGCAGATTTTAAAATGGCTTCTGGAGACGTCGGCCTACAAGAAACCAGTCCAGAGAGCCGAGGGCTGGGGGGGGGGTAAGAGTGTCACCCTGGGTAACGGGCTCCGTGTTCCGGGCGCAGAGCAAGCGGCGGTTCGAGCGGGACTGCAAGGAGGCGGACCGGGCGCAGCAGTACTTCGAGAAGATGGATGCGGACATCAACGTGACCAAGGCCGACGTGGAGAAGGTGAGGCCCCGCCTGCCCTCGCCCCCCGGTGCCCGCCCCATAGCCCCTTTCTGATGAGCCACAGAAGGGCTCAGAGTCGGGCGTTTTCCATCCCGAGGAGCCTCCAGGTGAGGAGCCCAGCAGCTTGTCCAGGGTCCAGGACCCCTGCCCATGGCAGCAGCCCGTCTCATGGCTTTTCAAAGACGGTTTCTGGAGGCCGGACAGTGCTTCTCCCCGCTGGGGGAGCTTGGCTGCTTCCAGGCTTGCTCCAAGCACCACACAGGCTGCTGCCCCTCCCTGGAGGCCAGGCTGCGCCTCAGGTCCCTGCGCACTGAGCCGCCACCGGTCTGCTCTGCCCCAAGGCCTTTCTTCCCTGGAAGCCCTTTCCCTGTTTCCCAGAGCCTCGACACTATCCGCCTGTTGAACAGCTGCGTTCCCGCAGGACCCTACTTCCCAGTGGGGAAAGCCATGTGGTTTTGTAGACATCCTTTGCTTTTGCGAGATTAGTTGGAAATGACTTTAGTTGAAAAATGGCATGAATTAGAATTTGCCCAATTCTGCCAAATTCCTCGCTTCAAGATATGGTGTTTAACCAGGTGGGTGGCACATGCCTGTGATCCCAGCAGCTTGGAGGCTGAGACAGGAGGATCATGAGTTTAAAGCCAGCCTCAGCAACTACTGTCTCCAAATAAAATACAAAATAGGGCTGGGGATGTGACTCAGTGGCAAAGCACCTCTGGGTTCAATCCCAGGTACAAAAACCTGCCTCCAACCCCAAAATCTAGAGGGGTGAGGATAAGCACTTGCCTGTCAATCATAAGGCCCTGAATACAATTCCCAGCTTCACAAAACAAAGCACAATGAATACTGTATATGTACAATGTAAAGAATATTAAAAGCTGGGCATAGTGGCTGTGCAACTGTAATCCTGACAACTCAGGAGGCTAAGGCAGGAGGATTGGAAATTCAAGGCTGGCCTCAAAAGTTTAGTGAAGCCTTAAGTAATGTAGCAAGACCCTATCTCTAAATAAAACTATTTGAAAAGGTCTGAGGATGTGGCTTAATGGTTGAGTGCCCCTGGTTTCAATCCCCAATACCAAAAAAGAAGTACAGAAGCCGCACCTACTGGCGCAGGCTCTGTCTTAGGCAGCTGGGCTGCTGCTGCTTTGATGGCCCCTCCCGGATATTGCCCTCCTCCTGATCCCCACCCCAGGGCTAAACTCTGTCCTGAATCTGGGCTAAGTCCTTTCCTCGCTCTTCCTCACAGTTTCTCCATGTGCAGATGGACCACCAGTGAGTAGGTCTGTAATTCCGTCTCCTTTTCACCTTTATAGAAACACAATCAGACTTTCCTTAACTCCCTTCCTCTCCCCTTCGTCCCTGTCTGGTTCACGGGGCAGTAGAATGCAGGACTCCTGGTTAATGTTCCAGCTGGAGTTGGGGAGGTGATCTTTGTGATTCTGCTTTGGTTTTTCTGCAGAGACAGCCCTACTCCCCCGTCCTGACCCCTTGCCTTGGGGTGTGTGTCTTCCTGTGCTGCTGGGGAGCCCCTCCAGGTCTGGTGGAAGCAGTCCCTGGGGACTTCCTTGTCTCCTTGGCTAGAAAGAGGGTGCTCCAAGGTTTTCCCATAAAGAATGATTTTGGTAAATCCTTTGTTGGGTTAAAGTATTTTCCCTCTTTTACCAAGAGGTTTGTTTTTTAAGCTTGATTTGGTACTGAATATCATTAAATATTTTTCTTCTTCCTTTAATTCATTAATGTAGTAAATTACATTAATCGGGTATATTACATTGAACCAAATTAGCATTCCTGGGACAACTTAATGAGATTATGATGTATATTTTTGATACATAAGCGGAATTTTAAAAAATACATCACTTAAGACGTTTTCCTTGAAATTGGTCTATGGTTTTCATTTCTTGTCTGTTCTCCTCTGCTTTTCTTAGGAGTTTAGAGGGTTGCTCTTTCTTTATTTTTTTTATTATTTTTTTTTTTTTAGTTGTAGTTGGACACCAAGCTTTTATTTTATTTATTTGTTCTTATGTGGTGCTGAGGATCGAACCCAGGGCCTCGCACATGTGAGGCGAGTGCTCCACCGCTGAGCCACAACCCCAGCCCTCTTTTTTCCTGAAATACTAAAGGAAAGATGAAATTATTCCCTAAATGTTTAATAATACTTCTTTGTGAGAAAGTTCCTAACTACTGATTTGATTTTTTATTCTCTGCTTTTTGTTCCAACCCTGTGGGTTGGTATTTTCACAATACTATATCCATCTCAACATAAAATTTCAATTTATTGACAATCAGGTTTCAACTTAATGTGCAGGGTCCACACACACTGGGAGTTCTGGCCCTCTGTGGTCCCGCCATTTCCAGGACAGGGCTGGGATGGAGCCCGGTGGCGGAGCACATGCTCAGCAAGCCTGAGGTCCTGGGTGCCATCCTCAGCACCAACAGTTTTTTTTCCAGGTCCTCCCCACAACCCCCACCCGCCTTTCGGGTCAGATCCAAGGCAGTTAACCAAGTGCCGTTGCTGGATCCAAAGGCAGTTTTAGGGTTTTTATCTTTAACATTTATTTATTTTTTAGTTGTAGTTGGACACAGTATCTTTATTTTTTTATTTTTATGTGGTGCTGAGGATCAGACCCAGGGCCTCGCACGTGCTAGGCGAGTGCTCCACCGCTGAGCCACAGTCCCAGCCCCAGTTTTAGGATTTTTGATGCGTACTGACAGATGGAGTTGCTATCCTCAGTTACTTGAATATTTCCAAAGATGTGGGTTTTTTCTACATGGAGAGCATCATTTTGCTATTTTTACGAGTAGCGCTTACCTCCTCCCCACGGAGGCCACAGCTTAGTTCGTCTCCGCATCGCACACACAGGAGCGGATGGAACAGTCTGTAAACACTGACGTTTTAAAGTGATTTTGCTTTCTGTCTTGAAACACAGTAATTTCCCAAATTGGGCAACAGTGTGACTGTCGCATCTGTGTTTTCCTTCATTGCTTAGGAAGCTTATGTCAGTGTCAGGCCAAACAGAGGCGGCGTTTCGGTTCTTATCCCCTGTTCCTGTGATTTCTGATGGCCTTAGCATCAGACACAGATGTCTCCTAGGGTTTCCACAAGTGACTGAATTGTCATTGTGCAGGGCATGGCCGTCCTCCTCCTCCTGCAGTCAGCCACGCGGCGCTGAGGATGGTGGCCAGCGCTGGGGGACGGTGGTCAGTACTGCTGAACTGTTGCCTCCTGTGATTTTATGTGCAGAGTACGCCCTGTGTGTGTGCTATTTCAGATCCGGGTGTGTGTGCTGATTTTTCTTCTCTTTCTGAAGAGGTGAGCATCCCTCTTGCGGACCCGCAGGTCATAAGCACTATGTCCAAACCACCCACTGAGCCCGCATCCACCCCATGGCATGGGCTGCTTTCCTTCTGGGTTGGGTGCCAGTGTGGCCAGATGTGCAGTGTTCTCTTGCCAGATCTTATCTCTGGGCACGAGTCCATATCTGGGTATCCTGAGGATACCATGTTCCTTAGAGGAACAGTAAGGGAGGGAAAAAGCCTAAATTAGGGGTTTTATTGTCAATAAAAACTTAGGGAACAGTGAATCCCTTTTCCTTTGCCACGATGCCGCTGACAGAGTTTTGAGTCTGAAGACTTCAAAGGACTTGAGAATTTGGAGTTAGTTAATCTGGGTTTGCGAAGGAACCAATACGTGTTGGAACAGGTCATCTTGTGGCTCAAGACCCAGGCGCTGAACCTGAAGATAAAAACAGACTCTTCACCCCCACCCCACCGCACCCCTGATAACCAGATGGGAAAGAAAGTCCTCGCTACCCAGTTTGTGATGTTGACAAGTCAAAGGATTGATTACCAGAAACATGGAAAAACAAACCGTGCCTGTTCTTACTCAAATATGTCTCCCGTAAACAATTAAAACACTGTAAGCTAAAGCATTCTTTGCCATGCCAGGCTCTTTTAGAGGTAAATACCCTCACCCCTTGGAGTGTGACCTTCTGACTCTCCCTCCGTCCCCAGGGGTCAAACCCAGGGGCACTTAACCACTGAACCGAGACCCCAGCCCTTTTTATTTTTATTTTGAGGCAGGGTCTCACTCGGTTGCCAAGGCTGGCTGTAAACTTGCAATCCTCCTGTTTTGGCCTTCTGAGTCACTGGAATTACAGGCAGGTGCCACCCTGCCTGGCTCTTTTTTTTTTTTTTTTATGAAATTCTTATGAATCATGACTTATTGATCTAATTGTCTTTTGTGTGTGGTGCTGGGATTGAATCCAGGACCTCCCATGTGCTGGGCAGGCGTTCTACCTCTGAGCTCCATCCCTGACCCTAATTCTTACTTGATGGAATTCCTAAGTGGTCAGGCGTTGGGTCATGGTCAGCCCTTCACTTGTAATGCTGTCTGCTGGCAAGGGATGGGGGTGGCAGACATGCCAACTTAGGATCACACAATTCTGTGGGTGTGTTTAAATGTTTTATTTATTTTTTTGCTTTCTAATATTTTTATGGGATGATCACACAATTCTTTCCTTTAAAGAACTTGCCTCTTATTTCCTCCCTAATGCTTAGTTTGCCGTGCGGGAACTTTCCTGTTTGCCCCTTGCACAACTCCTGAGTGGCATCTGGTGACAGGGACTTTGAGGTCAGAGTTTGTCCTTCACTCTGCTTGAGGCGGTGCCGGTCAAGCCGGGAGGAGAGGCAGCCCCTCGTCTGTGTGTTCTGACGGTGCCGCAGCTGGCTAGTTGGGATGAGAAAGGAAAAGGTTATCAAAATGAATGGAATGTGAAATAATATTTCCGAACAGAGAGAACAGTGTTTTCTAAACGCATGCATTAAACTGGGTTCATCCACGACGGGCAATGAATGACCCTTTCTCCGATTTGCCCTGCCTCGTGACTGCTGCTCTTACATAATTTCTAAACGCAAAATAGGATATTGTCTAACGGAAAGTGCAGCCAGTGCGTGGTGACGGCAGCTGCAGAAATTGTTAGTTGACTTCAAGTTGTGTTTTC